ATAATGATAATTTTTTTAAAAAGATAACAGCCCTCAAGATTTTCCTCCAAGGACCCCCTCCAAGGTCCCACTCCTAAATTTCCATTTCCCCTTGATACTCCGTTAGAGTATCAACCTTTTAGTGATTACTCATTAGAGGTTGGAGCCCTAATGATTCAATCATTTCTCCAAAGCCTTGCCTCCAACTTTGGCACATAACACGTGAATCTTTAGAGAGCATTTCAGAGCTTAACCATAGCAAAGGGCTACTTAGGGGAACTCTGGCCAAGTGTACTAACAGAATACTTGCCAATGGAAGGTGTTTAAGGTGACCTGGCACCACCGGGAATGGTGGCATATGAAGAACTAGTCAGATATTTAGGGGTAATCAGATAATTGAGGATAGAAAATTGTATTTAAACCAGCTTCTAATTCTGTTTAAGCCAACAGATAAGATTGTGGTGAAAATTGAATAGTACATAGATGATGGACACAGAAGTCCAAAAATTAAGTCCTCATTGAGAAGAGGATTCAGAGGAGTTTTATGAGTAGTGTTAGTCAAGGAGAGACTGTAAGAACTACAAGACATATTTTGTGTATAGATCTTGAGTTGCTATCCAGTTGTATGTTTGGACACTACTAAGGGCAATTAACTCCACTTTCCAACCGCTGATAGGGTGCTGCTGATTGATTATTGTGGTTATCTTATCTCTGTCACGTGTAATAAGTTAGCAAGTGGAATACAAAGGCTGTGGGTCTACACATTTTTGCTATAGCTGCTTGAATTTGAGAGTTTGAGAATGTGGGACCTGTGCTCTGTCAGAATCTGCAGAAAGCTGTCAGTATGTAGTAAGTTTATTCAGTGAAGTTTGGAGTATAGCAGGGTCATGGTGGCTAGCTTCCTAGCTACTCAAGGAGGCTGAGATACAAGGATCACAGATCCAAGCCAGTCCAGGCAGGAAAGACAATGGGACTCTTATCTTCAATAAACTACTCATAAAAAGCTGGAAATGGTGCTGTGACTCAATTGGTAGAGCACTAGCCTTAAGCAAAAAGAAGTTCAGGGACAGAGCTCATGCCAAGTTAAAGACCCAAGGACTGATGATTAAAAATAAAAGTTGGAGTCTACATGACAAACCAGCTAGATAGAGGATTTAAAAATCACTATCCATTTTGCTTTCAGAATATAGACAAGGGTTTCTATGGAAAGAAATCTAGAGCCACATTAAATGGCAGCCCAAAGATCAACTCCTTATAAGTAAGGAGTTCAGATCCTATCCCTACACTTGCTCAATTGGAAGTTTTATTTAGACTAAATGTTCAGGTGACTCCCATATGCCTTTAAAATGTGTTGAGATAAAATGATCCAGAGAATAATGTTCTCATGAGGCAGCAGAGAGAATGAATGACAGGAGTTAGAAATCTCACACTGTAGGGAGGCCTACTAACTTTTCCTAGAATTAGCCCTTGTCTTTTCTATGTGGAAAATGTGACTGCCTAATTCTGCAGTTCTTTCCAGTACTGGCATTCTGTGAAAATAGACATTGCAGTGAGCAATCAAGCTTGAAAGTTGTTCTAGATATTTCTGTTGTTAGAGGATATTTGACAAATGTTTTAAATATTTTTTTCTATTAAAACTGTTGTAGGGAATTGTCTGAAGAGTAGAGGACAAGTCTGTTTATCCTCAAATTTGTTAAAAGGTAAAAAAAAAATGGTAGGAGTTTTTCTAATTAACTGATAAGATTTTAGAGTAAAACCACACGTGTATCTATTCACTGGATTGTTTAAAAATTAGTAGCCTTGTATGTCTTCTGTGCTATGGATTTCTTTGGCAATCTAGTAAATTTCTATGGGGCCATTATCATAATAGTGTTTTGTCAGTCGGAGCTGAATTCTGGGCCTGGGCGCTATCCTTCAGCTCTTCAGCTCAAGGCTAGTGCCCTACCACTTGAGCCACAGCACCACTTCTGTCTTTATTAATTTCTTATTTTACCTGAGATTTATTCAGAAAAGAAATTTCTCTATCATCTCTTTGATCTTGTACTAGGGCCCTTAAATCTAGGGTCATAGTATATGCTAAGCAAATGTTCTACCACTGACCTATGGCCCCAAAAGTAATTTAGGCCAGGAAGCAGTAGTTCATGCCTGTAATCCTGACTACTCAGGAGGCTGATATTTGGAGCCACCATGAAGTCTTTGAGACTTCAGTTAATCACAGATAAAGCCAGTACTGTGGTTCAAGTGATAGTGTGCTAACCTTTGAGCAAAAGGAGCTCAGGACAGCACCAAGGCCCAGATTTCAAGCCCCAGGACTGGCAAAAAAAAAAAAAGTGTGTGTGTGTGGGGGGGGGGTAAGGAAAAGGAAAACCAACCTAAGTAGGTGACTGGAAGTCATTGGCTGTTGCTTGGTCATAGCAGGTAAACTCAGCCCACTAGTCTTTTGACAGTGATTTGAAAGAAGAAAAGATGCACCAATTTTCATTATATCTCAGCAGTATTGTAAAAAGTGGTCTAAGGACGAAAAAATCAAAATTTTGCATGGCTGACTTTGACTACTTACGAATTTGAGCATCTGTAGAGCTCTACATACTTTCACTATGCTCTGTAAAACTACGATAATTCTCACTAGGACTTGGTGCTTTAAGTGTGAATAGAATGTAACAGATGGGTAGGACATAGTGTTGGAGAAGATGATACTGCTTCCACCAGCCTCAGGAACAGACAGTTCTTTAGTGATCTCCTGTAGCAGGCATCTGTGTCAACTCATAAAGAAACTAGTTTCTCTCTATTTTCTTCTTTCTATGTGTTAATAGTGTGAGAGATTTTTCTTTCCTTCTTGTCTCTGATTCAGTTTTTCTCGTGTGATTGTTAAACTTCTTGATTGAAAATGTCACACATTAACTCTCCTTTACTTCTCACCAGCCTCTGTGCAGTCTGGGCTGGGAGCTGAATGACTTTTACTCAACCTTGTGGCATCATCATAATTGCCAATTTGTGAACCAGCTGTTGTGTGGGGGAACAGCTGCAAGGCACAGACACCAAGTGCCAGGCTCTTTTCTGAAGGAAGAAAGGAGCTCTTCCTTAACATGGCACTGGAGGTACTACTACAGGCTCCCACTAGTCCTTCATATCAATGGTCTAGACAGCTGTGGGGACACCAGTAATATGAAACTAGGCCATGCTCTGATGGCTCTTTATTGAAAACTTTGCATATGACCAGTGTTAGAACAGAGCTTTGCATACCTTGTGTCCTTGCTGCCCAAAATGCAGGTCATGAATGGTGTAGTAATGCCCAAAGGGTCCATGCAGCTTTACTTTCAAAGCATGCTGTGTTACTATTTTTTAATAGTATAAAGTCATATTTTTGTTGTCTTTCAATATTTTGTTAAGAAAGTTATTGTCTCCTATGCAACAATGTTTTGTTTGTTTTATATCTTTGAACAAAATTCTGTTTAAGCACAGGTGTTCTACTATGTGGGATACTTATTAGAGTGTATCAAACTTCTTTATTGGAAAATCAATTTTGCATCAATTTATTGTATCTCAGAAATCGAATTGTTCTATATTAGTAAGGTTAAGAAATTTTAGTATTGATTTGTGGGACTGGAAGAAATATTGTTTTTAAATGAAATCCATTGTTTATAAGGATGATGTCTTTAGGTACCTTCAACCTAGTAGTTCATATTTGCTATGTTTTGTTTGTCTTTTGAACATGTTTTCTTTTTCTTTTTTTTTAAAGAGAAGGAATTAGGGGCAAATGAAAGCTCCATCCAGGCACTGGTGGCTCAAGCCTATAATCATAGGTACTCAGGAGGTTAAGATCTGAGGATCCTGATTCAAAACCAGTCTGGGCAGGAAAGTCTGTGAGACTCTTATCCCCAATTAACCACCAGAAAACCAAAAAGTGGTACTGTGACTCAAAGTGGTAGAGCACTAGGTCTTGATCAAAAGAGCTCAGGGACAACACCCAGGCCCTGAGTTCAAGCCCCATGACACTCTCCACGCCTGAACAAAAAAAGTGAATTGCTTATTTGTGATTTTCAGTTTAAAAGAAAGATTTTTTTTTTTTTGAGAATGAGTCTTATTATGTAGCCCATGTTGATTGAGAACTCTATATAGCTCAACCTAGTCCTGAACTTGGAATCTCCTGACTCAACCTGAGTGCTGGGATTACAGAAATGCACCATCAAGCCCAGCAAGAAAGATATTTATTAAAGACCAGAAAGGAGCATATTCCCTCTGGCAGTATCTTTTCAGCATAGTGTGTTGTAGCTTAGAGGCTAAAAGAGAAGGGAGAGTTGGTTGTAAAATTGAGAAAATTGTACTTGATTTGGCATTTATAATTTTAGTTAATGGTTTCTAGTTTATATTTTATCTTTCTTGAATATAAGAACAATTGATAAAGAACTCTCATTTCATTGTCCAATGGTGTTTCTTGTCAATTGTTCAAAGATTTTATGTGCATCTATATATATCATTATTTGGATGTTTGATTTTCATATATAAGAAAATTAGACACAGAGCTCACCTTAAACATACTTAAATATTTAACACTACACAGAAAATGGTAACAGTGAATATTAACAGATGAAAATTGAAAATTGGTTTGAATTCAACTTTGTTAAAGTATATTTACATTTTCTGAGTGTTGGTATAATAATTCTAGCTATTCAGAAGTCTGAGATCTGAGACTCCTGGTTCAAAGCTAGCCCATCAATACAGGGAAATAAGACTCTTACCTCTAATTAACCACCAAAAATTCAGAAGTGGATCTGTGGCTCCAGTGGTAGAGCATATCAGTCTTGAGTGAACAACCTAAGGAATAGGGCTCGGGCCCAATGTAAGTCATAGTACTAGCGTGTGTGTGTGTGTGTGTGTGTGTGTGTGTGTGTGTGTGTGTGTGTGTGTGTGTGTGTGTATGTGTGTGTGTGTGTGTGTCTGTCTGTGTCAGGATATATGTAAGAAACTGTATTCTATTTTTATTTCCTTATAATAATTAGCCTTTATCCTCTCTCCTGCAGAACTGGCTAGATCCTGCAAAAGAAATAAAGAGACAACTTCGAAGTGAGTATTTAGATAATTATACTTGAAATTAAATCTTCACATCTGTTTATTTCTGTCTTTAATAAAATAGACTAGACTAATAATAAAGTAATAAAATCATTAGTTTTGTTTGGCATATACACCACCTCAAGTCAATGATACTCATATATATGCGATCTATATCTATATATAGATCTATAGATCATATACACACACAAACATATGTGATATATTTATAGAAATGTGACTGTTTAGCCAGATGTGACCTATAGTCCCAATACTTAGGAAGCTCTGGGCTGAGGTTTTGAGTTCAAGGCTACAATTGTAAATGTTTATTTTGTTACTATTATTTATCACTTTCTCTTTGAGAAGGTTTACTCTAGGTAGATCTAATAAAGTATTTTTGTCTACTTTGTCTTGGAAGTATGGGTTTTGGTTGGTAAGCATATCTTAAGCCTCAAACATGTGATCCATTCTTCATAGTTGTACTAGAGTGGGACTTGAGGGGTGAAAGTAGAATAATCTTTTCAATTCTTTATGTCACCAACTTCTCGGCAGCCCATTTGTTCTTTGTCCAGGTCCACTTTACATGCTCTTTGAGTCTGGATTTTCTTATTAGGTTCTCTTATTCTTTTGTTCTCATTTCCCTAGTTCTTCTCATTGAATTCCAACCTTGACATCATGTGCTCCTTTTAACCAGCCTCCGCCACCTTTATAGGATATGTCTTTGTAGATTGCCTTGCTGTGAAAACAGTGCAAAGAAATGTTATCAACATAGTGAAATCTCTAATTTAGTCAGAGAAATCTCTTACAACAGTAGAGGACTGAAGCAGAGAAGGCAAGTGAGTCATGTGGGATAAGGTGTTTTCACTATAAAACAGAATTGGAAAGATGGTAAATTCCTAAATAACTCCTTTGAGATTGTGGGCCTGAGAGCTGTGCAGGGAGAAGCCATTTCTCTGAGAACTAACCTTCAAAATGCAGGACAGTTTGTAAGTTTGATTGTGTTTCTAATATCAAAACACTGAAACAAATCTATACATGCTTTTTTCATCCTTTTCATCTACATCTCATTTGAGGATCTTTTATTCATTCATTTTTTCTATCCAATGAATGATTTTAGTATTAGTATCATTTCTTCACTATTTTGGTGTTTTTTTTTGATCATACATTTTTCTCCCCTTTTCCTCTCTTACAGATGCATTCCCTACCTTAACCCCCATTTTGTTAAATACCTTATTTGCTCAGAATGGAGGAGTTTCTTAGGATATGACATTTTTAGTGCTAACACTGCAAGTGTCCCATGCAGCCTGGCATGGTTGTGGCATTATCAGCTACCCTATCTTTTACTGTTATTCTTGGCTTTCAAGCATCTGTTTTCTTTCTTTTTCTCTTCTCTTTTTATTAGCTTTATGTTTTATCCATTTATATCCATCATATTAAATCTATATTTATATTGTATATTTGTTTCATGATAAGAGAAGGGGTGAGTATAAGTAAATACAGGTACAACATGATGACATTATGGAAGAAACTGCATCAGAAATCTTTAGAACTTTTTCTTTTGTCCTCTCTGTAGTTGTTACATGCTAATAGTAAAGTGCATGCATTCAGGAAGATGAGGATGCTTGGTTCTAATACTTTCATGGAAACTAGACCTGCCAGGGGAATAATCATAGAATAGGACAATCTCCAAAATCTGATTGTTCCCTTTGGTTTGGTTTTGGCTCTTGATTATGTATGTACACTTATTTTAACTCATAGCTCTTTTCTGTTGGATATCATCTTGGGGATGGGAAGAAGCATTTAAAAAAGTTTAAAGACTTTTAAGAAAGCTACAGAGATAGTATTGGGAAAGCTCTTTGAAGGCAAAACTCTTGCTGATTATAAATCAGATTATGTTTTGATTAAAGTTTTCTCAGGGCTTTTGCCCTTGTGGTTTGGCCAGAGAAATAACAGTAACAAATAGAATCTGGCTTTTTAAACTGCTGGAGTTCATCATGAAAGGAGGCACAGGTAGAAAATGTAGTTTTAGTCCTTATGTTGACTTCTTTCTACTTGTGTTAAGATATATGAAAGAACTTTTCTTTGAACTCTTCTATGTTATTTCCTCAGTTTCTGTTTATGATTTTTGTTACCCTAAAGCCAAAAGCAATTAGCAAAGATAAGTAGTTGGCTTGAAATACTTAAAAAAACTATGCATATTAGATATGATTAGTATATAAATGACTCTAGCTAGTTTGTTTATACATAGCTAGGTAAAATTAGGCATAGTATATAACTGAATTAGAAGTGTAGCTTGAAACTGCAAATTAAGGGTTTTTAGTACAAAAAAGTGAGGTAAATTAACTCAATTTAGCCATTTCACATGTAGTACATATTTCACACATATTACATATCATAAGTACATAAAATTTTGTCAAAATACCATTGGGATTTGGAAATAATATTCTAAAATGTAAACGTTCTACTAGAAACGTGTTTGTAGCCATATCAAGGCAAGCATATGGTAGTGTTAATACCTAGGAAATAAACAAGAGTCCATTAAGAAACGATAATCCTGTGATGACTTTGCTTGATTATGGATTAGCAGTCACCTCAGAATGCTTGTGCACAGATAGTTAATGAAGTCAGCATGTATTATAGACCAAGAAATACCATATTTCTCCATTTTAGGAAGGTCATATCCCATTATTATGTCTTAAAGATAAAAAGCAAAACTGAAATGTGTTTCTAGAGTTGAGCAGGGTTGCCTTTATTAGTATAGCACAAATGTATTGAGCTAGAGTTCTGCTGGAAGTATGTTATGTACATAGTAGCCACCCACTAAGGATCTGTTGACTTTTGAGTGGGAGAAAAGGTAGTGTACCAATGGTGATGGACAGGAGGACACACCAAATGAGAAAATGAGATAGAAGAAATTTTCAAGTGTGTAAACTAATAATCTCATGAGGCCTAACATAAATAGTATAGGCAAACTTAAATGTGAGTGTATACACATATGCACACACATACAAGTTTTTAATTAAAAATATTATTAGCAAAATTCTAAATTCAGGCTAGCAGAATTATTTAGGTTCTTTTAGGAAAATGATCTCTCTTTCTTAGACTTTTTTTTCTTCTTTTAAACCAACCAAAATATGATATATCAATAGTTAGTGTATGAATAACAGTATTAGCATAGGGTGCTTGACATATTCAATGTCACTGGCAAAGTATATGTTGTATACCAATTTGTATTCTATAAATCATGGGAAATGATTTTGTTTTCTTTAAATATTTTGAAGTTTTACCAAATACTCCTTTCCTTGAGATCCTTGTAATACCCATTAATCATTTCCTGAATAATTATTGTGATCACTTGGTCATTATTTCCCTTCTTGCAACAATATAGGACTCCTCCAAATTTTATTTTTAATTTATTTTTGGTCATGCTGAGAATTAAACCCAGGGCCTTATACATGCTAGGTAAGTACTATATCTACTGTATCACTGAAGTATCCCCAGCTTCTGATTTGTTGAGACAGAATTTTGCTAAATACACTAAATCTTGAACTTGAGATCCTTTTTTTCTTCTCCTAAATGCCGAGATAACAGTCATGTATCAACATGCCTGACTAATTTTTTTTAAATGAGTGAAGAATACTGGAAATTGTTTGGGCAAAGCAAATCTTAAATACAAATATTACATGGAAGATATATTAACTTTTTGTGTGTAATACATTATTAAGCAAAACACTCATTGACATATACCACTAAGTATTTATTTTTTTCAAAAGTGATACTTATTTATTGAGATAGATGTTACTGTGTAGCCCTGGGTCAAAGTCCTGGGTACAGAGGATATAGGTGTGCAGCATCATGCCCCATCTCTTACTATTTAATAGTGGTTACTAATTTTTTGTTTTAATTTTGTGTTATTGTAATAATCATGTCCTCTAAGAAAACTCAAACTGGTTTACAGTGGGATAAGTGGTTGTTCAATCAATATAATTAGTTGTTTGGATAAATCATTGTTTTGTAAATAACCATGATGTTTCATAATTATAGATCTTCCCTGGCTGTTCACTTTTAATGTGAAATTTTATCCTCCTGATCCTTCTCAACTTACTGAAGATATCACCAGGTAAATATCTTAAATATTTATTTTGAAATTAATGTTTTTTATTCTTTTATTTCTCTGGGTGATGTCAAGATTGAAAATCAAAGCTATTTTTAAATAAGTTTCTTTAGAAATAAGGTTCTCCCCAATAGTATTAAGTATTGCTAATTTCATAAATTTTACTATTCTTTAGTTTCTCTTTTTGAGTAATAAAAAAAAAAAGATGAAACTGCTGGCAACTTTGCTGTACCTTCAAAAGGCACTGGTATTTAGTGTTTGAGATTCTAATGCTAAGATGGCTTTTATTATATAATGTGTGTTGTATACTGGCCTTATATATACAATTGATAAATATTTATATTTAACCTCATATTAAGTAAATAAGTGAAATGAAATTTAAATGTCTATTACTTAGTAGAATTTTTCCCTTTAATTTACTGTTCTGCCTCAAAAAACAATAAAACAATAACTCATAAAACTAACTGGGTAGAGTTTCTCATGGAAATTGAGTAGCTGTTTTATTTTTATTTCCTCTGAGATCATGTGGGCTATAAGGTCATGTGTTGAAACTGCAAATAGAGGATTCAGTTTAGGAGCAAGAGAGCTTTTTCTGATCCTGAGTAGCTGTATCTTTTGAGTGAGCACTGTGAATCATCAAGTTCCTCGATCTTTTAACTCTAGTAGACTAAGGAAGTGATAGGACTTCTTGAAAGCTTTGTTAAAAGTGTAAATGGCACTTCTGTATTTAGAAGTTATTCATATGTCCAAGGAAGACTGTTGAGTATGTACTTTTAGGAAACAAGGGAGTCTCAGTGAAAGACTCTGCTTGTCTCTAGTTCCTGTGCCTTTGGTACTTCGATACACCAAGTTATATAGTCAATATAAGAAGTGTATAATATCCATGTGAGTTAAGACTGAAGGAAATTTCTTTCCAGGGTTGGAAAAATAAGATGCCTGTGTTTTTTCTTCCTTTGCCACTTGTTGCTGAATAGGAATGTGCCATGGTACTTTAAATTAATTGCTACTAATATACTAATTCTCCTCTGATTGAATTAGCTTTAGGTCTTACATAGTAAACAGAAGCTTTTGTAACAGCACAGAGAGCTGCTTATAAACTCTGGACAGGTTGGCGTGTGGAAGATACCTTCATTGAGGGAATGTGTGAACTGTGCATGGAATGGGGATTTGTGGCCCAATGCCCTTTCTGTACTCCCATTCTTCCTGTTAGTTACTTATTGGAGGGGTAATAGGATAGTTAATCCTATGGTGACAACTACTATTTTGCATCCATAAATAGGGCTTGAGCAGGCTTTTGCTGTGGTACCAGGAATTAGAGGTTGTTATGATTACTTAAAGGCCTCAGTGGTATAAGGGACCAGTCATCTGCCTATACTTGGGACTGGCAGCCTTAGTGACTGAGATTTCCACTGTGACTTGAGTGAACATTTAGAAGATGGGGCAAACTTTTGAAGAGGCCACTGGTGTCTGAAGAATGGATCTGGGAAATTGAGAATGTGCGTGTCAGTTTTTGTTCGAAGTTTTTTAGGATTTGAGTAAGGGTTTGAAACAGGAAAGGACCAATGTGAGATGTAGAGACAATAATATAAAAACAATATAAAAAGAAACAATAGAAAGAAAGCATTTCAAAGTTTCAAAGTGCCATAAGAGTTGGAGAACTAACATTATTGTTCATCAAGGAATTTGAAGATACCCTGGCATTACAGTTTAAAATTTACTTTTCTAACATAAGTGTAATTGGGTTCACATTGTTCCTAGAGGTCAAGGAAGCAATACAGTGCTTGAGAAATACCCAGATTGTGGTACCAGTGAGAAGAATTTTATTTTCTCAAAAAAACCTGAGTTCTTCTCAGTACTGTGGCATGTACTTTGGTTACTGTGAAACTATGAGATGATAAAAAGAGTCTGCTGATAGACTTAGTAGTAAAGTAGAATAGAACTAAATTGAACTATAATGTTGTGGTGGTATTTCTCTGAGTCACAAGCAATGAGGCTCGCATCAGAGGCCACTTGATTCCATTGGTAGTGATCAAGGAAGAACAGGGAGCCCTCAAAATCCAGGCTATGCAAATATTTCCACAGGAAGAAGATGTTCTGTTGCCAGGAGGCATAATAGATTTTATAAAACACCTTAAAAATCAGGATGCTGCCATTTTATTTTAGGGAGGTTGGTGGAGACCTTAGCAAATGGTGATATTTGATATTAGAATCAGATTTTAAAATATCAAAAAAAATTTTGTGATGGGGCTGAAAAAACAAACTCCCATACAACACAAATCTCATTATTTTGCATGTTAATTTAGTGGGAAGCAACCATTCATTTATGATAGTTATAATAGTACACTTGATCATGGACTGAGAAATAGATATTGTTGTTATAACTATCAGGTATTGATTCCCTGGTACCATACCATGTATTTTATGCTATAGTATCAGCTGTAGACTTAAATATTGCCAGAATAGCACTTCAGAATTTCTGTTGATTCAGTTGGCGTTCTGGACTTAGTTTCAATTATAAGTAAGCCACAAATCCAAGGAGAAAGATGAGCTTTCTTACTAGAGAAGACTGTATGGCTATAGATACAAAGTATGTCAATAAGGTATATTTGTTTTCAAAGGAATGTTAGAATTTAAGGAATCATGAGTGCTAGGATATTAATTGTTCTCATCAACCTTTTTCTTTCTCTACTTCTCACAGATACTTCTTGTGCCTTCAGCTTCGGCAGGACATTGCCTCTGGCCGCCTGCCTTGTTCCTTTGTGACTCATGCTCTTTTGGGATCCTACACACTGCAGGCTGAACTTGGAGACTATGACTCAGAAGAGCATGGCAATATTGACCTCAGTGATTTCCAGTTTGCCTCCAATCAGACTAAGGAGTTGGAAGAGAAAGTGGCTGAGCTGCATAAAACCCACAGGTGTGCTGACTTGATGGCTGGCGAGGCTGGCATCACACAGTTCAATGATTGGAACACTTGATTGGTGATGTGGCAGTTTGAGGGATCATGCAGTTTTTCATTTTGGTGCCTCACTTAGTACTGATCAAGACTCGCTCAGCCCTTTATGTACCCTTTCAATTCTTTTACGTCTGTAATATAAGAAGCTGTATTCTTGAAACCAAATGCCTTCATATTTTGAAAAAAATTTTTCTATATAATATGTTCTTATATCCCCAGTGCCATCCATAAACACATACACAGTAAACACACACACCTACTTACCTATTTGGAATTTGCTTCATATTTTTTCCATCTTTTGGTTTTATTATTGTAGTTGATAAGAAAGCCAGGAAGATGTTAAGGCATATAGATTTGCACTGGAAATGTAGGTAGTCATGGATATAGGAATAATAACTGAAATGTTTAAGTGGTTCTATCTATAGAAGCTGAACCTTTGGTTTAATAATGATTACTCAGATTACTTTAGTACTATGTACACTTCCATTTTTATATCTACAAAAATTGATGTTTAATACAAGGTTATATAATTAGCCACAAAATTATAGTTGTTTTTTTGGGGGGTCCAGTCGTGGGGCCTGAACTCTGGGCCTGGGCGCTGTCCCTCAGCTCTTCAGCTCAAGGCTAGCACTCTACCACTTGAGCTACAGCGCCACCTCCGGCTTTTTTCTTTTTGCTTATGTGGTGCTGAGGAATTGAACCCAGGGCCTCAGGCATGCAAGGCAAGTGCTCTACCACTGAGCCACCTTCCCAGCCCCAAAATTATAGTTTTATATTGCAAGACCAGTATTCTAAAATATGGCAAATGATTTGAAAGGAACTTTCAGAAATTCAGTTGTTAAATGGAATAAATACATTGACTTAAATTAAAAATGATAATATTTTATTATTATTAATTGTAGTATTTTATTATTCATTTAAATTTTACTTTGTACTGTTACTATATAATTTTAATTTGAAATGTCAGGTACTGAAATTCCTTGATTAGTGTGATTGAGTAATGGGATATCTTCCTTACATAGATTTTATCTAGAAACTTGAACTCACTTTTTAATTTTTTTCTAGAAGCTTCAATCACTTTTTAAATTCTCAGTTAACTTTCTACTATGCTGTACTCTACTGGAAATAAGACAAAGCAGCATTTTCAGATAAGGATAATGGTTGAGGTCTGCCTCCTTGCAATGGACAGGTTAAGATGAAAAGATCTTGAGTTGGAAAGTTGAATGTTCTTGCCTATTGTCTGCTTTTCTGCAGACTTAACCTGGTTACTGTGTGTATTCCAAAGTAAGAGTCCACCTGACCCTCTTTCCATTCTGAGTATATTTGCTTTGCATCTACCCATAAGATAATTCTGCTTTTTGTTTGTTTATTCATTTTCAGGGGCTTATCTCCAGCACAAGCTGATTCTCAGTTCTTAGAAAATGCAAAGAGGCTTTCCATGTATGGTGTTGACCTACATCATGCCAAGGTATTGTCAGTGTAATGGAAACTAGCATCATTCCAATATATTGAGTGCCATTTCAGGAAGGCTCCAGTTTCAGTAGCTTATTTTACTTTGGGAAACAAGCCATTTGCCTTGGCTTGATGATCTCTGTAATATTTCTTCAGTAACAATTATTACTATGATGTTAGATGTAGGGAGGGACCATTTGTTCCTCTCTCTTTTTTCTTCCTTTCCTAGTCTTTTAAAATTATTACCCTTTTGTAGGTTCTTATAAAACACTCTGTCAACTTATTTTACCCCTTTGTCTTTTGTTATTTCAGAAAAAGGTCCTGTGTTTATTTGGTGTGGATCATGATCCTCCTATTTACTTCTCATATTGCTACCATGCCAGTTTTTTATTGGTTGGGAGATATTGTGTACCTTTTGCCTAGTCTGACCTCTAATGGTGATCCTCCCTATTTTAGCCTTCCAAGTAGTTTGGATTACAGATAGGAAAGCTCTTGCTTTCCTAAAAAAAAAAGAGCAACAAAAAACTGAGAGTTGAATGATGATGCCTCTATAAAATAAGGCCATATTACAAGTTATTATTTTTGTTAGATTTCTTTTTAACTTGCAATTTTACTTGCATATTTTTATTCCAAGGTCAGAAACTAGTCTGTATGTAGACACACCAGTGACATCTAACCTAGATTATAATACAACTTTAATCTTTGAAAATACTTTGACATACCATCTTGTTTTAACATTTGAATATGTTTTATAACTACCTAAAACAGTGACAAGGATAACCTCAATATGATTAATCCTCCTAGAAGGTCCAGTTGATCTTCCTAACCCTTGAGTATTTTTCAGCTCATTTTCTATTATGTAAGCACACAAGGCAAACAGTAAGGATGTAGCCACAAGGCAAACAGTAAGGAGAGCAATAGGTCTGTGAACAGAGACTCCACACCCAGCCTGTCTCTGCTTCTTTAAGACCTGTTAATACTGCTGTGTGTAATTTTTCGGGGAGGTAGGGGTGCTGAGGATTGGATTTGGGGGCCTAAAACTTGCTAAGGAAGTGCTCTACTGCTTGAGTTATACCCCAAGACCTTGTTCTTTCCTCTCCCTACTTTTGTGAGTCATTAGTTAGGAACTAATTTTTAGATGTCAGTACTACAGTTATGTGTTTTTTTAAATTAAGTTTTTTTATTGTGAAAATACTATACAGAGGGGTTACAGTTACATGAGCAAGGTAATGAGTACATTTCTTATCCAGCATTGTTGGCCTCCTCCTTTGTTTCTCCCCTACCATCCCTTCCCTACCACTTCCTCAGCTACAGCCCCTCTCCCCCGCCCCCGCCGCCCTCCCCCCGGCCCCCCCCCCCGCCTAAATTGTAAAGTTTGTTTTTCATTTTTTGTTTTTCTTTTCTTTTTTTGGGGGGGGGTCCAGTCGTGGGGCCTGAACTCTGGGCCTGGGTGCTGTCCCTCAGCTCTTCAGCTCAAGGCTAGCACGCTATCGCTTGAACCACAGTGCCACTTCCAGCTTTTTTGTTTTTGCTTATGTGGTGCTGAGGAATCGAACCCAGGGCCTCATGCATGCAAGGCAAACACTCTACCACTGAGCCACCTTCCCAGCCCTAAAGTTTGTTTTTTGACATAGCTTCTTGTACATCTCATACTACAAAGTTTTATAGTTCTTTTTTGTTATTATTTTCTGGTTTACAAGAAAACAAAAAAAATTGAGGCTCCATTATAAGATGTCAGTTCTTACTGTGAAGTTAAGAGCAGAATATTCTTTCTATTTATCATGTTAAACTCATTTGATAAGAAACATATTTGTGGCTTACAAAACAGAATATGTATAGCAATTTAAAATAACTTTATATAGTTTGTTTTATTTTTGTGTCTGTGTGTTTGAATGCTTATTTTTTTCAGATCAATTTTTACTTTGTAGTCCAGGCTGGCCTTCGATAATTTGATTCTTACTCCTCTGCCTCCCAAATACTGGGATTATAAATATGTACCATCTTGCCCAGCTAGTTTTGTGCTTTCATCAAGAAAAGCACTGGGAAGCAGTGCGTGTGTTGGCATCCTCACTAGGCAGCTTCCTTGAAGGATGGTGAAAAGGAAGACTGAGGGAAGGTGCATGAGGTCATTTCCCTGACTATTTGAACTCAGGCTAGATTAAGGGATGCTTTTTTTTTCTTTTAAATACCTTTTATCTGTAATTTCTGTTACCACAAATACTGATAACTCTAAAGCACTTATGTGGAACAACCAAAAATAAACCAGTTTACTTTATGATTGATTTTTTTTTTTTTTTGGTTGGTCATGGGGCTTGAACTCTGGGCCTGGGCGCTGTCCCTCAGCTCTTCAGCTCAATGCTAGCATTCTATCACTTGAGCCATAGCACCACTTTCCGTTTTCTGGTGGTTAATTAGAGATAAGAGTCTCATGAACTTTCCTGAATGAGCTGGCTTTGAACCATGACCCTCAGATCTCAGCCTCCCGAGTAGCTAGGATTACAGGCTTAAGCCACCAGCGCCCGGCCTGATGTTCATTTTTAAGTCAGGCAAAACAAGTTCCTTGTTCTGTGTAAAGATAGTTTCAGGCGATGGGTGGCTTTGTTCAGTGTTTCAAATGAGGTTTCTGTTCTCACTTGCAGTGAGAACTTGGTGTCTTGGGCCATCTCTTGCCATCCCTTTCTGGCCATGTGCAGAGATGTTTTTGGCAAACACATTCTTTCCATTCTAATGCCAAGTTTCTTAGGCACCTATGCATGATTCATTCTAGCTTTCCCTGCTGTTCCTAGAGAGATCTGGAGCTGCCAGGACATGAGTACTAAAGTTCGATAGGATAGATTTCTTCTTCTTTTTTTTTAACCTGCTCAAGTTGGTCTAAGGTAATTTTGTGTACTTGTATATGAGTTATTCAAATATTACAGCAAAGAAAGAAATTGCTATCAATTGCCTGGTTTTGTACTGCTGTTTTAAAAAACTAACATAATTTGTATGAAATCATTCTTACTAATAAGTCAGTCAAATTAAGACCCAGTCTATAAAAATTGAATTAGGACTTAGACTAAATATGGTACTTGTCTTAATCTTTTTCTAAGAAATTGTTTCATGTTGATGAATTCTGAAAATGTGAATACCTCCAAATTTTATTTTTCAATTTCACTTATTATGAAAGAGATCACCTCTCTGTTCAAAGATAAACATTTATTTTTGTATTTTGAATATTGTATATTTTAAGTCTTAAGCACTATCTGAAATAAGAGGAGATAGTTTTTCATGCTTTTGTGTAAATTTCTTTGGTGTAAAAAATCTTTCAGACTTGTGATTGTTCTAGCTTGTCATATATTTTAAGTTAAGGTTCTGGAGAAAAAACTTAGTAACTTAAAAAATGGTCTAGAATCCTTTGAAATATGCCAGCCAACAGAATGCTTAGTGAGAACTAGATGTCAGCACTTAAGTGACTGAAAAATTGCTTGAAAGAATTCAGAAATTTTAGCACTATCAGCATAGAAGAGAAATTTTCTGTGATGAATTGATATGGTATAAAATGTAGGGATAATTTTAGTAGCTGTCAGATAACATAATTGATCTTAAAATATATTTCCTTAAGGTAAAATGTCTGAATGTACCTTAGGGAATGCCAGAAGACTACCTCTTGAGTAGTGAAGTAGTCTCCAGAAAAACATTCAATTTTTTATCTCTTCAAGAAATCTAAATCTAATTGCTTCCTTTCTTCTTTGTTAGCTCTCAACAGAGTTTGAAAACCTATGAATCATGCCTTTTTAGGAATAGTTTTTCCTGTAGTCATGTTGCAAAATTTTGGCAAATCCAACTCTATTCTTGAAGACGAATATATTAGGATGTATGTGTCTTCTATTATTGGCATTAACGTTATACTGTCACTAAAATTTAAGTACAGGCATGTTAACGCACTCTTAACCATTGTTTGTGGGGCTCTCTAATCTGTGTGACCTTCCTAGTTCTAACTGTGGCCAAATGTGCTTTGCCTGGCAGGACTCGGAAGGTGTGGACATCAAGCTGGGCGTTTGTGCTAATGGCCTCCTCATTTACAAAGACAGACTGAGAATCAATCGTTTTGCTTGGCCAAAAATCCTGAAAATTTCCTATAAGCGCAGTAACTTCTACATTAAAGTTAGGCCTGCAGAGGTGAGAAATGTCCTTGGCATACCTAATCAGTTGTCAGTATTCTCCTTTACTGACAGGAGAGTTTAATGAATTCTTTTTTCACTCTTCACTTTTCACTTTTTTCATAAGTATTGTGCATGTTATGACATGGAATGTGGGATTCTTGATAATTCTGCTAAGTGATGGTAAACAATAGAAAGGTGATGTAATGCATTTTGGTGGGAAGTAAAGAATACTCTCTATATGAATAGGTAATACTTTCATATTAAACCTATGGAAATTTTTTTTTTTTTCCGTGGGGCTTGAACTCTGGGCTTGGGCACTGTCCCTGTGCTCTTTAGCTCAAGGCAAGCACTCTACCGCTTGAGCTACAGCTCCACTTACGGTTTTCTAATGGTTTATTGGAGATGAGAGTCTCACGGACTTTCCTGCCTGGGCTGGCTTTGAAACACGATCCTCAGATTTCAGCCTCCTAAGTAGCTAGGATTATAGGTATGAGCCACTGGCGCCTGGCTGGAAAAATTGGTTTTGTCTGACTAGATTACACTAACACTTTCCTGTATAATTACTTCTTCCATAAACAAATGAATGAATGTTTATCAATAATCTCTAATCAGTGCTTAAGGATATATGCTGATTATTTTATGATTTATTCCAGCTGGAACAATTTGAGAGCACCATTGGATTCAAACTACCAAACCATCGGGCAGCGAAAAGGCTATGGAAAGTGTGTGTGGAGCATCATACTTTCTACAGGTAACATGGAATCTTGGAATTGCTCTTGGTTCCGTCTATGAATTAAGAGGTGGTAGAGGCCAGTATGGTAGATGCCTTAACCCCTTGCCTTAGGGTTCTTGGTACTCCTTGGTTCCATATCTTATCTGTTAACTTGTAGTCCACTCCAAGTGTTCTGTTGTTGAGACTGAGCTATAATCAGTTTCTGCAGTTTCCATACCTGCTACCATCATTCATCTTAGCTATAACTATTCTTAATTCCTCTTGACTCAGTTTCTTTCTCAAACCAATTTGAGACTTGTGATCTTGTTAGGCAGCTTTATAAAAGTGTTTGAACCTCCTCAAGTCTCTACCGTCTTTGAACACCAACTTTCCCAGTCTTTTGATATTGTATTACTCCTATGTTCTGACCTCAGGCCTTACATACTCTGCTGTCAAGTGCTACTTTAATCAGTACTCCATAGTGATACTTCTTCTTTATAACAGAAACATTGAACAACTCTGTGCATCAGTGAAATTCCAGATAAATAATTTCCAGCATTAGCAAGATCCTTAATGCATGTAGCCAAGCAAGCAGTCTTTTCACTTCCTTTGCCCTCTTTTTGAATCCCCCGTCTACTTCCTTTCCTCAAGTGCTCTTCCATCGCGCAACGCATTCTAAAGACAAGCTGCGGGTCAAGAGTAGTCTACAGTTGATGCACCTTCTCTTCCCTTTTTGTGTTTAATTTAGTATCACTTCCCTTGCCATTGTTCTCTTTACTCATTTCCCTGTCTTAAGGAAGGGATACTTTTTTTCCTTAATTCTTCATTTTGTGCCACTCAAAAGGACCCTGCTTGACAAATTGTGTATTTTCTAGTAGATGCCTTTGCTTTCTGTGTTTTGCTTTTTTTTTTTTTTAATCAGTTGTGGGACTTGAACTCTGGGCCTGGGCACTGTCCCTGAGTTCTTCAGCTCAAGGCAAGTGCTCTACCACTTGAGCTACAGTGCCACTTCCAGTTTTCTGGTGGTGAATTGGAAATGTGTCTCATGTACTTTCCTGCCCCCGCTGGCTTTGAACTGCAATCCTCAGATCTCAGCCTCCTGAGTAGCTCAGATTACAGGCGTGAGTCACTGGCACCAGGCTGCTTTTTTTTATTTTTCAATGCCCAGATCATCTCCATTGAGCCCTAAGTTAGTCACCTTTTGCTTCTGTCTTTTCTTCTTTCATACTTTTCTTAAAGAGTATATTTTTCAACAATAGTTTGATTGCCATCATTTCTTTCATTTTATGTCACTGTAGTTGAAGAGCTTTATATCAAGCTTATTTTTAAGACTTCTGTTCCGGACTGGTTCTAATGATTCATATTAGCTGTGTAATTATCATTAAGTTACTCACCCTGTCTGCTCCTCTGAGGATTCATTACTTTCTATACTGTATGATCTCTTTTGTCTATTACCCCAGTGAAGGAAGCTGCTACCTGAAAGTAGGTGCCTGTGAAGGAGAATCACAACCGGGTACTCAAGCAGAGGTGGGAACCTGGCTTGGAACTCATATGCCCATGGGCCTTTCTCTGCCATCTGTCTTCTTACGCTTCTAGGCAGTTTCTGAGATGTGCTACATTGGGCCCTACATGCTTTTTACTAATAACCTCAGACTCCATTTGCTCCTGTCAACTTTTGTGGTAGTAGTTATCAATTTTTTTGGTAAACTTTATATAACATGTAATGATTCTAAAGCTATATAAAACAGTAGGGAAAGCAAAAAAACCAGAATGAAGTTAGATCAGTGGATGCCTTTGTTTCAGTTTTTCACAAAAGGTCCAAATGATTTCTTTAGAAAATTTTACCAGACTTGAAGATTGTACCTATTAAAAAACAAACAGATCTTTGTATTCATTGATAATCAATCATCTAGCTTTATATTAGTGGAACAAGAATGTAATAATGAAGCTATTTCTTTGCTTGGTCATTTGCTGGAGGCTGCCATCATTCAAAGAGATGTACAGGGATTTCTTTTAATTTTTCTTTATAATATAATTTAATGAGAAGATTGCTATTATCTACACTTTTCATATGGAGAAATAGAAGAATGAAGAAGTTAAGAAACATGGTAGATTGTAACCAGTGGAGAAGAAATTCAAACCCAGGTAATATGACACTCTTAAAACCTTCTTCAGAGTGCCTGCAATGCTGTACTGCCCAGTTATTACTTCAGTGAGTATGTCTTTTCCACCTGCTTTTTTAGGTAGTGAACGAGAGAGAAACATGAGGTTTTTCTAGGTGTATATTAAACTGTGACTTAAACTTGGCCTGATAGAACCATAGTAATTCTAGGTATTAATGTTATCAGCTGTATCATAGAAAGCTATGGGGAACCTGTGCACTAGTTATGATTCACTTTAGTAATTTTTTTTTGCTAGTCTTGGAGCTTGAACTCGGCCTGAGCACTGTTCTAGAGCCTCTCTGTGCTCAAGGCTAGCGTTCTACCTCTTGAGCCACAGCACTACTCTGGCTTTTACTGTTTATGTGGTACTAAGGAATGGAACTCCGGGCTGCATGCATGCTAGGCAAGCACTCTACCACTTAGCCACATTCCCAGCCCCCAATTTAGTAATTTATATGTAAGTTTCTCTTAAAATGGTCTTTATTTTCCATAGCCAACAATGATACATAATTTATTATGGTAGGATTGTATAAAATTGAAATGTTAACATAACTACTTAAGCAGCAGTATATGTGAAAGTTAAATTCCTTTTTGATACATGATTACTTAGATTATCTTGCTCAAGGCCTTTAATACCTGAAAAAGTTAGTACTCTCTTCATAGGTTTTGTCTTATCAAAAGTGAAATGATCAATGGCCTTGTAGTGGTTTTGATGTTACTCTTATGACTATAGGGTCTTCATTGCCAGATGGATGTGAAAGTAAAAGTGATTCAGTAAGGAAATAATGAAGGGTTCTTGATGTGATAATGTAATAGTTTAATGTAATATTTTATGGGTTGGCCAGCATTTCCTTAAAACATTTTATTTATATTACTTCTGACTTAAATAACAAAAAATTCTTTTAGAGAAAGCTGATGTTTATTCAGTCCTTTTTGATATCTCTTTGGATATTTCTTTCTATTTAACTTGCAGCCTCTGATTGTCATGTAAAATAATCTATAAACTAGTCCTTTGTATTTGTGCTCTTAAGTGTCAGTTAGATAAGAGACTATCCCAATTTGAAATAAATAGAGCAAAAATATATCTACTTTATGACTTTCCTTTTTTTGCGTAGTCTATATAGTTGGCTTGAAAATATTTTCCTTCAGTTTATATCTCCCATAAACAGCATTTAGTGGGTAATCATTCTTATATGAGCTTAAATGGCTACCAAATTACATAATCATTACCTTCGTCAAAAAAAGCCAAGAAGTAAATATGGATATATGAATTTTTTCTTAAATATTCCAGCTGATATAAATGAGAAATTACCTTCAGAGTTGTGGGGGAAACAACATAAATCAGCAATTTTATTTTACAAAATGACTACATTATTACTTGCTTCATGCTTTATTAAATTAAAACTAGAAGTTCTTGTGATGTCAGAAATCATAGGGCTGGTGGCTCAACTTTTCTCCTCTAAATTGCTGACATAAGAGAGCACAGCACTGAGACTATATGATAGAGGGAAACAAAACACTGAGTATTAGAGTATGTGGTGTGTGATTTCAGTTTTAGCTATTTGGGAGGGTCACTTGAGCATTTATGCATGTGAGACCAGCCTAAGCAATGTAATGAAACCGTCTCTCTTGCTCCGCCCCAAAGAAAATTCTGGAGGAGGGTATATGGACATGTTTTAGACTCTCCTGATATTTTAGTTCAGGTGTACTCATACAGTTAAAGTAACATTAGACAACAAGGTCTTCCTTTTTGTTTATTAACCACACAGTATGCATAGAACCTAGTACAGATCCAAAAGAAATGACATCAAATAAGCCTATAATTAAAATTCTAGTTTGGAAAACAGTAATAGAAGTTTTCTTGATTTTCTTTAAGATTGTTTTCTAAAGCAGGAGAACTCTTTAAAATTCATTTTATAAAAGGAGAATATTACAGCTTCAGAAGATATAATCCTTTATATAAATATTGATTTATTTTTCATAATTCCAAAGAACAGCCATCCTATTTCTGCTTTTAAATTTTGTTTTGGAATTTTTTTTTATTATTAGTTCATGTTTCTTCTCTGAAGTAAACATTTATCTTTTTTCCTCTAGTGATCATTTAACTACAGAGTATACTTCATGAACAGACAGCAAAGATGAATGTGATTTGGCTAACCTGCTTTTCAAAGCAAATGAGTATTCCTCAAATGCTCTATGGATGAGCTTCCCAGAGATGTTTCTGTTTTAATTGCTTCTTTCTTATAAGGCTTGCTTAGATGCCTACATTAATAGACAGGGAAATGGCAGTGTTCACTCCATGAGGAGATAGTGAAAGACAAATACATTTCTCATTCTGCCTGTGTTACTCATGACATTTGAGGATCATGAATAGGTTAACTTTTAACCTCTGTGTCTTTTCCTCAAGTGTTAGAGAAAAGAGAATGTGAAATGTCACTAAGGATCCTAATATGATCTATATAAGGATCCTTATACTATCTGGCATCCTAATTTTAGCGTATGTACCTTTATCCAAGTATAATTTGAGACTATACTTAATTGGCAATTCGATCTCTATTTCCTTTAAAAATCTCCTCACAGAAAACAGAAGTTATATGAAATACTTCTGCTTTTTTATTTCAGTTTCTTTTTTAAAATCAGTTTAATTTTAGCATTCTGTTTATCTGGGTGAATATGTTTTTAAAATTTAAATAATGTGTAAAAGATTTGCCATACAACAAAACAGTTTATGAATTCAGTGCATCCTGGTCAGTGTTGCCCTTTTTGAATACTTTTTGACTCCTGAGTTGGTTGAGGACTCCCTTTCATATTTACTACATGTAGCTTCACTATGACTAGAATCTGCTGTTTGTTGATTAAGCATATTTCTAAAATAGGATCTAGAAATTCTTGATACAACAAATGACTTTAAACATAGTAATTTTGCCGGGCTCTGGTGGCTCACCCCCGTAATCCTAGCTACTCAGGAGGCTGAGATATGAGGATCACGGTTCAAAGCTAGCCCAGGCAGGAAAGCTCCTGAGACACTTATCTCCAATAAATCACCAGAAAACAGGAAGTGGTGCTGTGGCTCAAGTGGTAGAGTGCTGGCCTTGAGCTGAAGAGCTGATGGATAGCACCTAGCCCAGCGTTCAAGCCCCATGACGGACAAAAAAATAAAAAATATATATATATACAGAGGGGTTACAGTTATATAAGTCAGATAATGAGTACATTTCTCTTTTTGACAGTGTGTCACCTCTTCCCTCATTTTCTCCTAATTTTTTTCCCTCCTGACCTTTGTCCCCTACAAATTGTATAGTTCATTTTCAATATAGTGTCTAGTGAGTGTCACTTCCTTGGAAAATCATAGTAAAAGTGTCAGAGTTTTCCACATTCTTGAATTGTCAGTTAAAATTTAATGAATTATTTAACAACTCAGAGATGATCTTTTTCTGAAGACATTTTATTGATTCTTGATCAAATTATGAAAGCAAGATAGTTTAATCTGTATCCAGAAAGACTGGCTTGTTTAGCACAAACATGTTTTTGTATAAATCTGGAAGAGTTTGACATGAAGGAAGTTTGAATTCATTCATTGTGAACCCAGAGCTTACACAGTAGAATTATGCTGGCAAGAAACCGATTAGTTATCTCTAAAGATCTCCTGCTTAAGTTCTCTTCTTTGTGGGAAAGAATCAGTTGATAGAACAGATTCTTGAGTTAAGGTGTTTTTTTTCCCCCCAGCAGAGAGAGGCATAAATATTAAGAATTGCTAACGGTAATGGATTTTTACATGATTTTTAGCTAGAAGCAAGAATTCAGACATATGTGTTTGTATAAATGATTTAAGCCAATACAAATAAATAACCCTGATACACATAGAGAACAGCTGCTCTTTTGCTCAGGTTGAGAAAAACATTCTGGGATGCACAAATACCTATTTGTCACTGTCATAAAACTACAGATATAAAATAGTTTATAAATATTTTTTTCATTAGGAAAATAAAGTCCTAGTTTTGCTCTCTTTTCTTTTCTCTGCTAGGCTTGTGTCTCCAGAGCAGCCACCAAAGGCTAAGTTCCTGACCTTGGGATCTAAATTCCGCTACAGTGGCCGCACACAAGCACAGACTCGTCAAGCAAGCACCCTCATAGACAGACCTGCACCACACTTTGACCGCACCTCTAGTAAAAGAGTCTCCAGGAGTCTAGATGGAGGTAAATATGTTTACCGTAATTTTGGATTCCATTCATCTTTCTATAGTCAGTTTGGTCAGAAAATGATAATCTATTTAATAAGACTGTGAAATGTCCTATAAGGGCTGCCCATTTTTTCTTCCATGTCACAAATCTGTACTCAGAATGAAATAATGTTGTGTTTTGAAGCTGTTACTCTGAACATACATTTCTTTCTGTTGTCAAGACACACAAATATTGTTCAGGAGTTCTTGTTCCTGGCATGTTGAATGTGAACATGCTTTTTATTGATTATAGTTAATTATGATAGATTTATGTAGTTTAATAACGTAAGCTTATTCAAGAGCACTTTTGCATATGGGAATATGAGCCTTGAATCCTGTCAGATTTTGAGGTTTGCTTCTGTCTAATACTCACCAAACATTGCATAGTAAGAGAGCTTTTATACCTCCTAGCTCAAGTGGTAGAGCGCTAGCCTTGAGCTGAAGAGCTGAGGGACAGCACCCAGGCCCAGAGTTCAGACCCCACAAAAAAAAAAAAAGAAAAAGAAAAGAAAAGAAAAGCTGACCTAGGTTTGGCTTCAAATATAATGATGTTGAAATGTGAATGAGTATCAAAACCATAAGTTACAAACTGAAGATGACAAAATGGCCATTCCCAGCTTCAAGGAATTAATATTGTAATTTAATATCTTAACAAAAACAAAGGAAATATAATATGTTCATTTGTTAAGAGGCGATATCTGTAAATGTGAACTTTTCTATTGAAATTCTAATCAGCTGCATATTCGTAGTTTTATCCAAAGTATACATGGACATTAATTGGTGTTGCTTTTCTTCATTTTATCTGATGAATTTAGGATTCATAATAGGTGAACTTTCTTTTAGAATGCCTTATGAAAGATTTCATGTTTATTTTTGTATGATGGTTAATTTTCTATGAGAAGAATGCTAGCATTTTTGGCTATATGTAGTAGTGATGTTAAATTTCAAATGTATATGTTACTTCATAAATGAAAACATCTTTTGATTATTATCTGATATATTTCTTAAATATGAACTTGAACAACTTAACATTTTAAATAATTAGTTAAAACAACCAGAAATCTACTAGGAGGTATAAAAGCTCTCTCATTAGTGAAGGGTTGACACCTATTGCCTTGATCTGCTTTTGCTAGAAAGAAATTTTGACTTATTTAAATGGACACACAGATATTCTGGATTGGTTGGTGGACATTTTGATATATATAATGATTAAATCTTGATTAGAGAACTTTTCATGTAGTTTTATGAATCCGTACAAACTACAGAAGATAGATCATGATTGTACTTTAAATGTCCACATTTACAGATCTTGCCACTTAAATTTGATGAATTATTATTAATGTCCATTTCAGATTTTCCAAATCTGAAAAATGTGCCAACCCATGTGAATATTTCTCAAGCCTTGCTTCTTGGCACAGAGAATTTATACAAGGGCTGAATAAAGGCAGTCACTGTTGTTTAATGCCCTGAAAGAAATCATTGCTCTTTCTGGAATAATGTTTTCAGCCTTTGTTTTAAACTGTGCATTCTATAACTCTTACATTACAAGTTTCAGAGCTTAAAAAGAGCACAAAACCAGTGCATTTTCCTTGGGGTATATGAACTGCACTCAAGGAAACCTACCATCTTGTTTGAGCAGTTACTACAGAGGGTTTTAGGAGTCTTTATCTGAAAACAATGATTTTTTTTTTAACAAAGAAAAGCAACAAACATGGCACAGTAATCCATTATTTTTCTCTTTGTGTTCTGGACACTGTAATTCATCAGATGGGCAAGTCATCAAAAGGATTATTGTTATTGTAAAAAAAATAAGAAGCTTTGCATGCCAAGACATGATTAGACACCAGTGAACTCTGGTTAGGGTTTATATTCTCCTTTTTTTGGGGGGGGGTAGTGTCCAGTTGTGGGCCTGAACTCTGGGCCTGGGCGCTGTCCCTCAGCTCTTCAGCTCAAGGCTAGCGCTCTACCACTTGAGCCACAGCGCCACTTCCGGCTTTTTTCTTTTTGCTTATGTGGTGCTGAGGAATAGAACCCAGGGCCTCATGCATGCAAGGCATTCGCTCTACCACTGAGCCACCTTCCCAGCCCCTCTCCTTTTTTTTTTTTTTTAATCCCATAAGTACAGAGTCTGTAACCTGGTACAGAGCTTTATTTACTTCATTCTTCATAATTATTCTTTTTCACTTGTTAACATGTATAATGTTACCTTTTTTCTGTTTAGATTTTATAAGTTAAACTAGAATAGTTTGGATATATTTTAAAGTTTGGGAAATTAAATTCATTTGTGATTACAGAAAGAACAAATGAATGTGGTATCTAAAAGACCAAATGTGAAAATTTAAAAGCAGCCTAGAACAGCTATTTAAAACAGTGAGACTCCTCGGAGACTAGGAAGCAAATCAGTCATTTAAAAGATATAACAATCAAAACAGTCTTTGAGAGTGGGGAGGCAGTCGTTTTCTGAGAGTCGACAATATAGAGGAGGCACACTGCTTAGAAAGGATCATCTAGCAAGGAAGGCCTACCTGAGGAAAACGCACAGTTCCGTTGAGAATTGAAGGTGAGATGAGAGAAAAGTGGGATAGTAAGCTACACAGGATGGGCTGAAGGTTGCAAAGTGAGGGAGAAGGCAGGTTTGATAAGAGTGATGGGCGAGGTAGGTTGTGAAGAATGGTTTGGGTTGTAGGAAGCTGCTGTGCAATATGTGTGTTCACATATGATCATTGTGATTTTTTTGTTGAAAAAATAATTTTAGTGCAAAAGATCAATTAGAAAGGCAGCTGAGAAAGGAAAGCTGGTCAGTAGGAATAGCCCAAGTGAGAGTGATGGTTGGTTTACCTCAGCTAGCACTGGATCAGTTAGACGTTTTCTTTCAGTCTGGGCTCATACCTGAGCCTGCAAGCCTCTCAGGGTGCAACCTGAAATTGATGTGTTAAAGTATGGCCATTTTGTCATCTTCAGTTTGTAACTTATGGTTTTGATACTCATTCACATTTCAACATCATTATATTTGAAGCCAAACCTAGGTCAGCTTTTCTTTTCTTTTCTTTTTCTTTTTTTTTTTTTGTGGGGTCTGAACTCTGGGCCTGGGTGCTGTCCCTCAGCTCTTCAGCTCAAGGCTAGCGCTCTACCACTTGAGCTACAACACCACTTCTGGCCTTTTCTGCTTATGTGGTGCTGAGAAATTGAATCAGGGCCTCATACATGTAAGGCAAGCACTCTACCACTAAGCCACCTTCCCAGCCCCATCAGCTTTTCTTACTGTGCAATAATTCCTATCTGTAATGAGTGAGTGCTAAGAAGTCACAAGTTAGAGTTATGCACAGCTATCTATTTTCTATTAGTAAAATCTTTTCAAAAGTTAAACAACCCCAGAAAATAGGCACATCCATTGTCAGATGTGACTTCATCTTAATGTTTAGTAACTTGGTGTGGGCTTTGAATAGTGTGAGTACTTCTGGGGCTTGTAAACTTTTAAAGGGTGAGGTGGCAGAAATAGAGATGGAAACAATTCATCATGCTTGTAAATATATCCAAGGATCCTACCAGATTTGCTGGTGTTGAGGGAATGAGAGAAGAGTCCTAGGTGTTCAGTTCTGGATTAAGCAAATAGGACAAGTATGAGGGTAGCATTCCATGGAAAGGCAAGATTGGGCAAAAAAGGCCAAGTAGAGGTGTGGATCAAGAAATATCATGTGGAGAAGGGACATACAAAGCAACAAAGAAATCATCTTATAAATATGTTAGAAACAATTGCATGAAAATTGGTATAATTTGTGGAGGGGAAGGGAAAAAGCAAATAGTTTAAATAAGGATACAGGTGGACCCATTGCAACAATGAGATGTACAAGTCATTATGTCGAAAAATGAACTTTACAACTTTGGTGGTTGGGATGGTGGTTGGGAGGGGGAGGATCAGGTGAGGGGGTGGGGTGGGGGTATGGGAAGGGATGGGAAGGGGAAACGAAGGAGGAGGCAACAATGCTTGATAAGAAATGTACTCATTATCTTGCCCATGTAATTGTAACCCCTCTGTGTATGGTATTTTCACAATTTAAAAAACAAAACAAAACAAAAAGCAAAAGAAAAAAATATCATGTGATCTACCGACTGAAAGTACTTGATGGTTCAAAGACTATGCAGAAGTGTCTGGGAGATTCTGGGCTGGAGATAGGGCGCAAGTAGTAGAGTGTCAGCTAAGCAATTACAAGGGTCTGAATTCAAACTCTGATGCTGGCAAAAAACCAAAAAAGTTAAAGTTTATTAAATCACTTACTAAAGTCTACTGATTTGTTTTGATGTTTAAAGGTTCCTTTAAGGAAGACTTCTTAAAATGTAGTGTAGCAAAACTTTTTTAATCATTATATGATTTTTTTTTTTGCATAGGATGATTGGGGGGGGGGATCCAGAAAGATTAAAGAGGTTCCCAGAAAATTATTGATTACATTGTAATTTTGACATTTAGCCATTTTACCTGGTGTTAGAGCTCCTCCTGCTGGCACGCTCTATAATCTGCATGTTTTTCAGATGTCTCTTTTGGGGTGTTAAAATTGAGATTGTTTGAGCTTTAAGACTAAATTTAGTTTGCAATGTTAATATTTTCAAGCCTCAATCAGAGTTCTTTTTCCTGTTGTTTATATGCCACATATTTGTTTAAAGAGAGATATGTTGTATATAAGTTGGTCTTTCACAGCACTTGTTTTCTTTCTCTTGTATGTGGAAGCTAGATGTACAATACCAGGGCATAATAAATTATACAGGTCTCTAGGCATTCACACACAGTGAGACCAAAGCAGGATTCTCTTGGGAGAGGAATAGAAAAGCATAATGCCTATGAGCATCTGATCATGAAAATACTACTTACCAAAATGAACTCCAGGAAATGAAAACAAGAGTTTTTTTTTTTCCTTTTTTTCTTTCTTCTATATTTATTTTCTAATTTTTTTTTGTTCTGTTTATTCATTTATATGTCTTTGGGAATGAAAGTGGAGGAACAGAAATAGAGGGACAAAGGGAGAACAAATGCAGCAGTGGTACTCACTGGATACCATATTGAAAATGAACTATACAACTTATGCATGGGAATGGGAGGGAACAACTGGGAGAGAGCAAGGGAAGGGGCGACTTTGTCCAAAAAGAAATGTATTCTTTACTTGACTTATATAACTGTAACCTTCTGTACCTCACTTTTATAATAACAATAAAACTATTAAAAATTTAAAAAACATGGCTCTTTACAAGTTCTGAAGTAATCCAACGTTATCTTTCTTCTAGCTCTGATTGGTTCTGTGGACCAAAGTTTTATGAAGGATTTTCCAGGTCCTGCTGGGGAAATTTCAGCATATGGCTCTGGAGTCGTCAGCACTGCCATGGCGGTACAAGATGGAGACGGCCGGAGGGATGTTCGAAGTGCAAGTAAAGGTTCACACGGGCAACTCATTGAAGGAAAGGTATGGCACACTCGTACTATCGAGGGCTTTCAGCATATATTTAGACCAGAGATTACCTGCTGGATTTTCTACTTCAGAAGTTAAATATTTAAAATTTAACCTTTTTTTAAATGTCGATGTAGTTTCCCAATTTGAAATATGGTTTGAATGGTTTAATGGTTTTAACAGTAATCTCTTACCTCATTTTGACTGATGTTCAGGCAATATGTTTCAGTATAAAGTTACATTAATGAAAGTAAGTAGCTCATTGGCTTTCCTGACTTTCTTTATAATCTTCTTGTCATTGAATCACCGAACTACTACAGTGATGATTTGAAATTTATATTTGGTTTGGTACAAGTAAGTATTAAAGTGTAACGTGTTTATTATTTTAATTATGTTGATCTCTTGTGTTTTTTATGAAAAAGTGATTTGTTTGAAAAGAAATTTGTAAGTGATACGTAGTTGTTTTGTTAGAAATCAGTAAGAAATTCATGTGCTGTTTTGACTTTGCAGCATATGAATATAGAAGCACCCTACATCATGTTCTCAAATTGCTCATCATTTTGTTGGGTAGTAAAGTCACTTTAGCATTGACTTGAAGAGCCTCTGTTTATAGCTACTTTATATCTACTTTCTTTATATCTACGTAAAGCAGTTTATGTCATACAATATTGGAAATTAGCTTGTACACAGAGTCATCCTGTTGATTTATGTTATTTTCTGAATTTTAACTTTGAAAAATTAAATAACAACAAAATGAATTTATAAAGGAAGGGCCTGCTAAATGAAGTAGTTGCCTGTGCCTGTTACCAATGACATCTTACACCCAGCATGGAGGTGTGGTTGGACCAAGTTGGTCCAAGGATTATGAAGGTTTTCCTGGTCCTGATGGGGAGGTTTGCTTACTTTACTTACTCCAGAAGGACACATGCTTTCTTCAGGTAACAGCAGATCATTTGCGTTCTATTGTTAAGGAATTTGTGACTACTAGATTATAAATTTATTTGGCTATAAATTATTGTTAACTGCAATAGAAATTGTGTCCAGCAAGATGTCAGTCAACTATTGAAAAATTTGTCAAATCTTAAAAAACAGCAACAAAGAAAACTGCTAACAAGGTCACCCGGGTTAGTGGCTGCTTACTTCTGACACAGAAGAGCATTGTATTTCACATACTTTCTGTTCCATTTTCCATACTTAGATGGATGTATGCAGTTATTAAAAACTTTTTTCAAGATAAATGTTTTTGTCTTTTGAATTCCAAAGGAATTCTTGCTTGGTTTCAGCAAATGTCTGGTTATGCTAGCTAATGCTTTGAATGTCTTGTCAGCAGCTAGGTTTAAGGGCAAATAGAGCCCATTGAGTTTTATAGAATTTATTTGCAACTGGTTTGACAATAACTGGTTGATCCTTATAAATTTTGATGTAATGAAAGTAGTGCAGTTTTTCTTTCTAAAACTGACCACTTAATTTGTTTTCTGGTGACACTGTGTTAATATGAAATTTCCTTGAGAGTAAAGTTTTCACTAACTACCCATTTGTTCTTTTTTCCTCTTTCCCTCTGCATTTGTCTCTCCCTTGAATATATCTGTTGTGTAATGTCATATTCACTCATGGAATTGCCCTTGAGAATAGACTGTTTGCATGTGCCCACCTTCACCACTCATCCGTTGCACCTCATCTTTTTCCCCAAACCTGTTGCCAGTCCCTGAAGTGGACTTACTGTCAGATATTTCAGAGGAAGACCCTTTTGGGGAGGCTGACCAGATCACACTAGACAGCTTAGAGCTCATTTCCACAGGTGAAACATCAGAGCAGGGAGACTCTGAGCTTACCACCTTGGACTCTGACTTGGAACCTGTTATAGTTCCTTCTCAGCCTGACTGTCCTTCTCTCATCCATGAGAAAACTCTTAAAGTGACTAGCCACAGGGATTCAGAGTTTGGTTACTTTTCTTTTAGCTTCTACAAATGTTTTCCCTCTGGCTTTCCCTCCCTTCTGGATGAAGATGGGTATCTTGCTTTCCCCAGCCTCCCCAAGCTCTGGGTCTCCTTCCTCCCTCCTGATGTTCAACACTATGTCCCTATCACATCTCCTTCCTTCATTCCTTCCCTTGTCCTCATCTTTGGGTTGCTTCTCTCGGCTTCTCAGTCTGTTCCTTTTTCTCTTACCTTTGCGCTTCCTCTGGCTTTAGCCCTCTGCTATCTGGAGGCTAAAGCCACCTCCTGTAATGTTTTTTGTGAGTATGACTGGAATGACAAAACAGAGGAGGAAGAAGTGATCGCTGGCAGTCCTCCATAAGCTGCATTTTATAAAGTCAACCCAACTCCATTATATACCCTTCCTAATATATAGAGTGTAAACATGTGCATAATTTTCACTGCTTGCCCTCAATATCAGTTCATACTTTCGTATATGCAACACTTTAATGCATGAGAGATAAGTATAGGCACATATCCTGCACTGTTGTCCTTTGACCAGCTCCACACATTCTCAGTTGAGAACAAAATGATAGGATTCTTTTATAAAATCATCCCTTTTTTTAATTTTTAAAGATATGCTAGCGGGGCTAGGAAGGTGGCTCAGTGGTAGAGCACTTGCCTTGCATGAATGAGGCCCTGGGTTTGATTCCTCAGCACCACATAAGCAAAAAAGAAAAAAGCCAGAAGTGGCGCTGTGGCTCAAGTGGTAGAGCACCAACCTTGAGCTGAAGAGCTGAGGGATAGCACCCAGGCCCAGAGTTCAGGCCCCATGACCGGACCCACCCCTCCCCCCCAAAAAAAAGATGTTCTAGAGAGGAGCTTATATTGTCTTTAACAATTCATATTGAGTCTGTTTTTCAGAAAAATGTAAGTATGTTCCTTTAAGATGGGAACTGTTCCTTTTGGAATTAACTTAGAATGCAGTAGATATAATTGTATATAATGCTGCTTAGTCTTGTTATTTCTCTTGCTCAAAATCCAAATTTGTTTTTGCGTTCATGAGACTATATCTGTAACCTTTGCTTCTGACATTTGTAAGTCTGATCTCAAAAACTCTATAGCATTTGGGGACCAGATAGATGAATTTTAACTGGTGTTTTCCCCCCTACCCTAAATCATATATATAAGACTCACTGTCAGGTATTTCATGAGGAGGATACTCTTCTCTTACCTTTAACAACATGTGAAAATGAAATGTGGCCTTTTGAAAGCTTATATTACACATACTGAGGTCCTCTGAGTGCTCTTTCATTTAAAATTAGATGTCTGGTTTGAAGATTTTTTTTTTACCCCTATAAAAGAAGGCAGTTTTCTTTCTTTTTCTTAAAAGTTTATCTCTGCACTATAAGAAGTAATTGTTCACATTGTCTTAATGTACCTGGTTAAACTAATGAAGTCTGTTTAGTTAGTGTCTTAATACATAGAGTAAATATATATGCAAAATTCAGAGCAAACCTAAAGAAAAATCCGAAAAAATACAATAAGTATACATTGTAGAAAAAGTCCCCACAATTCTTCAGGTTTACTTGAGAAATACCAAAGATAAATATTTTAGGAGACTTAAGTGTTAACCAAGCAAATTCTTTCATAAATTGATCATATACCATTTTTCAGCTCTGATAAAAACAATTTGAGCTCCCTGCTTACAAAACTGCTATAATAGTTAATCAGAAATAGCAAACAAATGTGAGCATTTGAACTCTCAGATTCTGCAGTCTCTTCCCAGCAAAGAAAGGAAAGATACATATATGCATTAACCTGAGATTATTTTCCTCTCATATCAAAATCAGTACTTTCCTTTCAAAGCCTACTCCGTGTTTATGCTAGTTTTAAGCTTCTAATAATCAGTTTTTATATTATTGAAAATTGAGAAATTTCTAGCTGTGGAAAATTATTCTTGTTTAAAGACAAAATTTTATAAAGAAAATGCAGCATTTCAAAGCTTATTTTTAGATGCCCATCATTTTAATATGATAGTAGCTAAATAAACTAATTTTACTTCCCCACAAAAAATCCTTATTTAAAAACTAGTGGTAGAGCAGTTTATAATAATGCAAAATTTGTAACCAACATAAAGCTATACATCACTATACTTGGTCTCATTACTAGTTGACATAGAGTATGCCATATTTGCACTCTTCTATTTTCAATTCTGAGTTTAAAACATTGCGAAGCAAAGCATGATCTAGGGACTGAGAGAGAGAGTGAAGCCTCCATTCGCCATCCCACCCTTGCAAAGGATCATTTCCATCATTTGTACAACATTGTAGGTGAAGAAAGACCAAAGTGGCTAAATACTCTGCATCGTCAGGGGCCAAACAAGAAAGGTTGGTAATGCTGCTTCATCATTTATGTCTAGTACAGCATCTACACTGATGGTAGAGTTATTGCTAATGCTTCACTTCTTTCCGGCGGTTGCTGGGTGATCTTGCAGGCAGAGATGGAAGAGGAGAAAACACAGCTGGAAGAGGTGGCTGTTTATCCCCTGAAATCAAATTATCTGGTGGCTGCTGCCTGTCATTATCCTTGTTGAGGGTGGGGATGATAATGGAATATGCTTTTAGGGTTTATTTTTGAGTTTTGTTGTTATGGCTTCAAATTTTTAAGATTTTGTGCCTCTTTTAAAGTCTGTCAGATGGGTTGTTTCTAGTGCTTGCTGTTTGATACATTTTTGTTTATTTGCCTTTTCCCCCTGTGTGTGATTTAATTTCACAGAAAAATTCCTTGAGAGTAGAAGGGGATAATATTTATGTCAGACATAGCAATTTAATGTTGGAGGTTTGTATGATCTAAGAAAACAACTCTGTCCTAATGGCTGCCAGGCTGCTGTGGATGGGAGGTCACTCACAGGCTGGCTGGCAATCTTCTTCAAGCACAGTGCATGTAATGCATGGGGAGATTGAACTTGGGGAGTGCATGGTACCGGTCCAACGTGGTTCTTCTAAAATTGCTTAGATAGGGATATCTATTGGAAGTTCTCAAAGTGACCACTGGGGAAAAATGTTCTTTTTAGTCAGATAAAGTATATCCATTTAGTCAGATAAAGTATTTCCATAAGCCTGTTTTCCTATTGGGTTATCTGCAGGGTGAAGAAGCTGAAATAATATCATCCCACCTTTAAGATAGACTAAGGACAACAGATACTGCATTAAATACTTCGTTGATCTGTGTTCATATTTTTTCTAAATCCGTGTGATTAGAAACATGACCCCTTTAAAGTATTTTGTTTGAGAGTATACTGATTAATTGAATTGTTTTGATTAGGAAGAAAATAGAGAGGGGAGAAAGGAGGAGAGAGGAAAGCAGAAAGAGAGAAAGAGAAAGAGAGGAAAAAGAAGAGGAGAGGAGAGAGGGTAAAAGGAGAAAGCCTAGTTACCTAATTAGGAAGTTCAAAATATGTTCCCCATGTCACAAGAGAACAGGTTTTATTCTTCCTGTGCTAAGGTACAGTGTGGCTGTATATTCTATAGAAAACTGCAACTCTATAATTTGACTAATCTGTTTGGTTGCTTTTGGCAGCTTTGATAACTGTTGAAAATTTGTATTTGCTTAACTTACTAAAATGCCGTAAGGTGTAATAAGTAACATTGCTTTGAACAAATGCAAGAAATGTGCCTGATCTCAAGCCACAAATCATTCCCCCTCAAGCCATGCAAAGATTTTTAGGGTTAGAGTCTTTGCAAATGGCTATAGAAGCTCATAGATGAGCTACTATGCTTGTGCATGAATATAAAATTTCCTAATTTTATCAGGTGCATGACCGGGGAGTGGGGTGAAAGCTTTAATATATAGGCGGCCCTGTGACTTTGGGAATGTAAGGAAACATTTAAAGGTCAGTTAAAACCGTTTCCTGAGTGCTAATTACCACACATACCATTATAAGAGCCAGTCTACAAAAAAAATCCTAGGACATCAGTTAGCAGAGCTTACTCCATTGAAAATAGACCTGGTAGTTTTTCTTGCATCTTTGTATAAGGACCATTGGCCTGTGAGGTGACTGAGACTCACTTTTGTGCTTGACATTTCATGAGACCAGCATGTGGTTAATTGTTTTGTGGAGAGACCAAACAGAGGTAGCTACTTGTACATTTATACTTATTCCTTATGGATTATTAAAAACCACCACTGGAATTTCCTGACAAAAGTCAGCCTTTGGTTTTTTTTCACCTTTAGCTAATCCTGAATTGGCTTTCACTTCAGGCCAACTGTGCTTCTGAAACTACTTTTCTGTTTTGTAGTTGATTTTCTGTGTCCACAGAATACAATTTTAGTAGTAACCCTTATCAGCAAGAAAAATTTATGAGAACAGAGTCACAGGCTGCAGTTCAAATTGGAGTGTAGAAAGAAGCATTGTCAGCCCCTTCGAAGATTAGTTCTATGGCTTCCTTCTAATAATATAATAATGATTCTTAAAAAAAAATCAAGCCGAAGAAACCAGAAAGCTTTCAAATATAAATCATAAAATTGCACATTGGCTTTATTTTCAAATTTTGATGAATTTGTTAAGATTATTCTTGGGTGATAATATGGCTTTTGAGACTTGGCATTTTTCTTGCTTTACTATGTTTTTTTTTTTAATCATACGTTTACTTTGTCTTATTTTTTGGTTTTATTTTTGTTTTTGTCCTACTGGGTTTTTTTTCCTTTTGGATTTCCCCCCCTTGTTACGTTACATATTGCTAGGACCTGGATAAGGCCCAGGAAGACATACTGAGACATCAGGCTAGCATTAGTGAACTCAAGCGCAATTTTATGGAATCCACACCTGAGCCGCGCCCCAATGAATGGGAAAAACGACGTATCACACCTCTGTCCCTACAGACACAAGGGGTATGTCATTAGCTATTTGTTGGCTATATGTCTCATTCCCTTTGTTCAGTAAAACTATAGTTGTTGTGTGTTGATTTTCAGAAGTTACAGAATGTACCCACTTAATGGTGTTTGGAATTGCTAACATTTTTTTAAATACTAAATATTATTAACAATGTAGTACTTATCGGCCTAGTTATTCAAAAAATGGTATGAGTTTCAAAGTACTTCTGAGATATTTTCAGAGTAAGTTCAGTTCTTTATTCAGGTAAATTAGTCATAATGAATTATTATACAAGATAATTTAGAAACTAAGTATTGTATTGAATAAGCTTCTTAGTTACTGACTTCTGAAACAAGAAGTAAATATAGATCTTGTTTAGAATGCTTTATAATCATTACTGTGAGGAGAATGAGATAAAATTTACCTTTAAAGAAGTATGAACCCTGTTGAAAGCTTGTAAAATGTCATATCATAATTAATATTGAAATATCCTAAAGAATAGTGGTTTAAAAACATTTTCAGCCATTATATCTTTTCATATTCATTCATTTTCCTTTCTGTGGTTTACTTCTTCCTTCCACTAATGTAAGTCTTTTAGAGTACTCTCTCAAAATATATTTCATTCATTCCTTTCTCTCTCTGGTCCTTTCTGGTGCTTCCAGATCCCTTTCTCCTGTTTCTGACTTAAAACCTTCCACGGGCGGCTCCTCCTTGAGGTGGCAGTGATCACACTATATTTAGTGTGAAGTTGTTAAAGTGCATAAAGAAGTTACATTTCATCTTTCTCCTTTCAGTGTCCAGTGAAATTTGAATGTACCATATTTTAGACATTTTGATGCTCTTTTATTCATCCTTTCTTCCTTAAGAAGCAATGCTGTTCATAGTATTAAGTTTTTAAATTTGTGTTGAAAATAGTCCTTTTGGAAATCATGAGCAACAATAATTTCGGCACTGGGGGGAAAAACATGATAACAAGATTAAAACACCATGCATGGTAGGCCCTTAAAGTCTGATACCACTTCAATTCTTATTTTCAGATTTTCTTACAGTAAAGTTAATTTCAGCTATCTTCTAGAGTGTTTCTGGAAAAAACGTTGTGTGATGACATGATAAGCTCTGGCCTTTGTTTATGTGCTGCTTCATCTGGTTTGTTTCACAGACACACAGGATTGTTTCATGTTTGTGCTGCTATAGGTGTAATGTATGTGTCTTATTTGTTGATTTATGTTGTTTAAAACAATAGAGAAAAGGAGACCATCTTTTCAAGGATATCTTATCCATGAAGGAGAAGTACCTGATGGCCAAAACACGGACTGTTGAAGAAAAAGCTCAGGAGGCAGACAAGGTGTTCACCTTGCATCCTTAGACCTGCTCTTGCTTTTTTCCCCTTTCCATGTATTTCTGTCCACAGCCATAGAGAATTTTTTCCTATATCAGTGTACAATATGTATAATAATTTTTGAGTGTCTAAACAGTTAAGCCCCTTTCCATAGCCTCGTAGTGTCACTGGGTGAGACACAAGTGTTTGTATAAGTACTCTACTTGATCACTCAAAATGCAGAAATATCATCCAGGTTAAGTGACAAGTGATCCCTAACTTGGTGTAAGTGGCTGACAGTTAGAAAACTAATTCCACATGAAAATTCTCTGTACAACACTAATATGCTGGTAGAAAAACACAATCACATATCACTAATCACTAATCACATATCACCTTTGGAAATGTTATTTTTAAGGTGTTTTTAATGGCAGCCCTCATACCTTTCTTTGTGCCCCTGCGTTATGAAATGTCCAACATTAGTGAGGAAATTTGCTTTCATTGCACTTATATTCTTATTCTACTGATTTTTCTTAACCAGCTGGTCAGCCAAGGAGAGCTTAGAGTCTAGTGGAGGGGGTAACAAACATGTCCAATTAGAGAGTTACAGTTACTGAGAAGTAAGTTCTAATAAGAATGTGAAATATAATGCTGTGTTAGAAGCGAGTTGAGGAGCTTCAGGGGAACGTGGCCTTGGAATTGAGACATTAATGATGACAGAGGCAGACATAGGAAGAATAAGTACAACAGCCAAAGGCCAAAATTACGTTCAGAAGCAAACTGACTTAGTGAACAAGGAGGAGCGCAAAGGAAGGCAAGGTCCAACAAGTCAGAGTCCAGGTCACATGAGAGCATCAAAAATTAGGCTATATTGGGAGTTACAGGAAGCTATTGTAGATGTTTAAGGTGAGTAGTGATGTGAAGTATGTCTGGCAAAAATCCCTCTGGCACTGGGTAAGGAATGGATTATAAAGGAAGTGTGAATGCAAACAGTGACAGAATTACCTTTCCATAAAGTAGACTTTACTAATGAGAATGAAAATGCATGGGAGAGGGGGAGGAGCAGAATACATGGAAATTCCCTCAGAGACTTTGAGGTCTAGTTGAAATGAAATTGTTTCCAAATGAGAATGAGTAACATAATGTCATAGAAACTCAAGCAAATGGTTTATTCACTTTAAAGTTTAACCAGAAATCCAAAACAGGTTGAATCACATGTATAATGATAATTTTAATATCACATACTTTTAAATATTTGTATATATACACATATTAAAATCTACCTGCTAGAAGCAAGTCATGTGAGGTCATTTGATCAAATTTAAGGTGATGTTCTTGGGCTTGTTACAGTAGGAACTAGAATTTTGATTAAGATAATTAAAAATCAGTATTTTTCTGGGTCACATGTTTAGAAACGTGCAGTGTAAAATATTTTGTAGAAGTTATAGTAATGTTAAAGGAAATCAAAACCAGGAAAAGCTCCTAGATTTCTTATCCCCATTTGAAGTTTCTGCTCTTGCCTCTCTAACACATGCAGGAAAATATACTTATTAGACATATATATGGATTGTTCTGATTACAACTTTTCATCCATTCACCCAGGAAATGCTTATTGACCCATGCATATATTATATATGTTTGTTATTTTATTTTCATATAGATATATATTATTTTTTCTTAAAACATCATGCCACTACTGTTAACTCATATGAGCAGTGGAGTTTATTGGAATATTTTAAATTGGATAAAATACCTGTTTAGTTTTTAAAATTATAACTTCTTTTTAGCTCTTGGATTTTTCAGTATTTCTTGTTTATCTTTGAGTCTTACCTCTGTTGAAGCACAAAATGAAAACTATTGTGTATTTGTCTAATGAAATTTCCAAGTTCCCATGGTATGGGTTTCATAGATTTTAAAAAAGTGTTATTTTATTGCCTAAAAAATAAATTCATCAAACTTTCAAAGTAGACTTGACTTGAATGTAAATGATTTTGAGTATAGAACAGAAAATTGGAAAACAAGTTATTTTGCCTTCAATAAATAACTCATGCCTTCTTTTATATATTATATTATGAAGAGAAGGTATTCTTTTATGAGTCTAATAAGGATCTTGTATACTGTAGTTTTGAGATACTTTTGTAGTTATTTATTGACTAATTGAATGCATAGCACTTACTTAAACTCTCCAGTGATGTTTTACTAGGAAGGACTCCCCATTCCCCCAGGGAAAGATGTAACGATGGGATAATAACTGAGCCAAATTAGTTTAGAAACTTTTTTCTCCTATTCATTTTCCTCTCATCATCCCTCTTAGAACAACATCTTGCAGTTGCTATGCGTTTATTTTTCTTTAAACTTGTGACATGAGAGGAACCTTGTGGTAGCCCTGGTGGCCTTTCAGGCTTCTGAGGACAGTTCTTGGCTTTCCTTTTGTCCTCACTGACACGTTTGGAATCATTGCCAGAAATATGAAAGTTAAAGTTACCACATGTGGTTTTTCAGAGACAAATGATTTTTACATTATTCATTTTACAGTTCTGGCTTGGTCATTATTTTTCCTTGTTTCTCTTTGCCAACAAAGCAAATGAAAAACAACCACAACATTATTGCTCTGTGGCATGCTTAAATATCTGAGAGAATCACTTTGGGTTGCTGCTAAGAATATTTGTTATATAAAGTCATGTGCGGAAAGGAAGAGCTCATAAGAGCAGGAGTTGCTATGAAAGGCCTTCCACGGAACATGGACTTGCTAAGTGGGCCCCAGAGAGATGGCACAATATGAAGGGACAGAGTGCAATAGGAGGAGAAAGGCCAGAGTGCACCTGAGAAGAGGTGGGTGACCCAAGATTCAGAACAGGAAGAAGCATTTCAAGTGGAGAGGGCACTGAAGAGGCCATTCTGTACAAAAAGAAAACAAGGAACTACCTCAGGAATATATGAGTGTAGCTAAGTGGTTCTCAGTTTTTGATAAAGCGTCAGTAATAAACCTAGGAGTTTTAGTTGGTTTCTGTAGGTTACAGCTGTCAAAGGTTTTCAAACACAGTGGGAACGCTGGCATTCAGGCTAATAACCTCCACCTAAGTCTGCTACAGAATCTTCCTAATTCTTACCTTCTTTCATTTTATGCTGTTCCGTTATTCTTACATAACCTTCCCTTTCCTTCAATAGGTCATTGTTGTCCTGATGTATTGTTAATTCTTTGCTCTTCCTTTTCCGACCTGTCTAGAGCCTAGAAGAGGAGATAACATCTATTTTGTTTAGTGGAAAGGGCTTTTCTGATAGCATGACAGCCGCCTTCACCTCAGCCACCACTTGGACAGCAGAGGGCGCTGTTGTGAACACTAATGCACCTAGAGAAAAGCTTTGCTCCTCGCCCTTCTCACACTTGCCTAAGGTGCATTTTACTTGTTTCTCTTGTATTAATGACCGCCTAAGAGAGAAATTTTCAGTTTTTAAATATGAGGCCCTCCCTTAGTGTTGCCACTGGCAAAGTTAACTGTCCTTGGGAAAAACATTGAGGAAACAATGGATTTGGATGTGAGGAAATGAAATTGGTCCAAAACATGAAAAACTACTTAAATTCAGAGAACCATTTAGGCCACTAAGGCCTAGAGTTCTAGCTAGTGTAGAGGCTAAAGTTTCCAAACCAAATTTCAGACATTCTCTTTACTTTTAAGAGGGAATGTAGTTTTTGAAAGGCCTTCATGGATTCCTTGAACTTGGCAGAATCTATTCCACAATTTGAGGTTAAGAAGAAGAAGAATAGTACACTTTCCTGGGATAATCCTAAAATGTCTGTTTTAGAAATATTCTTATCACTAAATTTCATCTTTTTTTAATAAGTAGCTACATGTTACCTGCTTATTAAAATAGACTCATGGAGTTTGGGTTGTTTTTGGTTGTTGTTCAGTTTACTTACTATTTGAAAGAGGTTTCAATAAAACTGGAAGGATGACTCTTGCTTTGCTGGTAACATGATTTATATGGCATTTTGAGTGACCCAAACATGCGTTTCCAGTACATTTAAGAGTAGCAGAACATCGGGCACTGGTGGCTCACGCCTGTAATCCTAGCTACTCAGGAGGCTGAGATCTCAGGATCTGGGTTCAAAGCCAGCCCAGGCAAGAAAGTCCATGAGATTCTTATCAACAATTAACCATGAGAAAACTGGAAGTGGCTCTGTGGCTCAAGAGGTAGATCACTTGCCTTGAACTGAAGAGCTCAGGGACAGCCCCCAGGCCCAGAGTTCAAACCCCACAACTGACAAAAAAAAAAAAAAAGTAGCAGAACCAGAGACCAGAGACACTATATGTATGTTGCTATATGCTACAAAGCAGTGTGTTTTTGAGGCACTTTTATCTCTGGGTGCCTTGAATTGGGGGTAAAATGAAGTGAAACCCTACCATTACAGGAGACAACTCAGTGTAATTAGTATATGTCTGTAAGGTCTCAGGACAGTAATGTCCAGAAACATAGTGCCCTTCTGCGTCTAGATTGTGGGATGTGAAACACTCAGATTTTAAAAAGTTGCTATGTAGTACTTGTACCAATGTAGGTTTTTTAAAATGTGTCAGGCAATTTGAAGCTTTAAGACAAACTCCTCTATAAATTGATTTCTACCTTATTTGATAATACATAGCATGATAATTTATATTAACAATGTATCCAATCATCAATACTTTTGAATATTTAAATTTTGTATTACTCAAGTAGAGTAAATTAATTTACTTCCAAGAAGTAGATACCTACATGGGGGAGGGTAGAAATGTGTATTTTCAATAATAAATTAGATGCATTTCAGATTTCTATTTTGTTATTCAAAAAATGAAATTTAGGAAAATATTCTTTGCTACTATTGACATCTGCCCTAATATATAACATCCCTTCTGTCCTATGATACAAATAAGGAAAATAATAACCATCTGTAAAATAAACATTTTTATGATAATAGCTATCTAAGGCTAGGTAAAGTTTTGCCATTCAAATTAATTTTTTAGTCACTTAGCAAAAGAAGAGATACAGTTGTCATCTTCTTAGTATTATATGCATTTAGGAATCAAGACTCCAAGCTAGGTATTAGGCTTGAATTAAAGCCAAAACTACTTGTGCAAGTAGGTTTAAAAAGTTTCTAAAGTTATCCTTGAAGATGATATACCAAGCTTTGGTATAATCCCTTTAAAAATTCACTTAGGTGAGTGGAGCTTCTAGATAGAGCTGTAATAAAAACATGTCTTTAAGAGGATGCGGGCTGTTTTTGTGCTTCTGCCTCTTTATGTATGCTTTTTGGCTTTTGTCTCGGTTGTCCTCTATGTGACCTCAAGCAAAGGTTTTCCCAGATGTTGACTCTTGCTCTTGTGTCTTTGCAGTGTCAGATGTCTGTTTCGGTCGTTGTTGAGGTAAAATGTTATTGATTTTGTGTCCTTGGTTGCTTTTTGTTTCACAGACACGTGCTCCCGAGTCAGAAGGGCCTTGCACTGGAGCCAAAGATGCTGTTAAGGTTCTTCCTTCCCCTTCCCATGTTAACACCATTGCTTGTCGTCTCTCATACCCCTCACGTTCGCCCCGCTTCCCTTTCAGTCAGCCATCATAATCATCTTTGTTTTCTCCATGACATGAATCTGCTATCAGTTAATTTTAGTTGCCGTTGTTTTGTGTATTCATACATTTTTGTTTTCCTTCATCCATCTTGTTTTTTTGTATAGAGTTCACATGAAACTCTGAATGTAGTGGAGGAGAAGAAGCGGGCAGAGGTTGGGAAAGACGAAAGAGTAATCCCAGAAGAAATGAATGGTAAAGAGATCTCACCTGGGAGTGGTCCTGGGGAGATTCGTAAGGTGGAGCATGTGACACAAAAAGACTCCACCTCCCTGTCTTCTGAGAGCAGCAGCAGCAGTGAGAGCGAGGAGGAAGATGTGGGAGAGTACCAACCCCACCACCGTGTGACCGAGGGCATCATAAGGGAAGAGCAGGAAGAATATGAAGAAGAGATGGAGGAAGAGCCCGGCCAAGCAGCCCAGGTAGTAGAGAGGGAGGCAGCAGTGCCTGAAGCCAGCCCAGACAGACAAGCAGGTGCCAGTGTAATCACAGTAGAAACAGTGGCCCAGGAAAATGTAGTTGTCCAAAACATACCTGCAGAGAAGAGTGTTCACGAAGGCACTGTTAAGCAAGACGTAAGAGAAGACACAGAGGAAGAACAACATACAGTTAACGGAGAGGTGTCTCATGTTGACATTGATGTTTTGCCACAAATTATTTGTTGTTCAGAGGTAAATGAGAGTCCCAAGTGGGAGCTGCACTATCGAGCTTGTTCCTCTGGTGGCCAGTGCCTGCCTCTCTCCTCTGCCTATCCTCCGATTCTCCTCAGCTTTTTCAACAAGAAGTTGAGTTCTCTCTTTCATGGGAAGAAGAGGGAAAGCACGGCTTTGTAGATCTTCTGCCAGCTCCATTCCTGGTTTCTGGGTTCTTTACTTCAGCCAAATCACCTGTAGGGTAAACTTTCCTACAGTCGCTACATTATTTTTTTCTTCCCACTTCTCATTTAAATTTTTCTTTGCATGTTTTGGCTGCTTGCGATCATTTTGTCTTTATTTGCATGGCTTCCTCACACTAAATGCCTTTTTCATGGATTTAATTAGTTAAGTGCATATATACTACTGAAAAAAATGGTCAGTGTGAGAATGTATACTCCAGTTGTCATGACTGAGTTTGACTTTTTGGTGCATTCTCCCTTTAATTAAAAATTTGTAGAACTGACAGCAAGCTCTGATTACTGTGATGCTCCGAAGGCAGCAATTTGGTATTGATGAGACATTTTTTCTTGAGTGCCATGTGATTTCTCTTTTTAAGCTTCCAGGGGTCATGTAAGCCTTTGACTTTCTTTCTAGGCAGTCAAAGCTAATGTTCGGTAGAAAGGTACTGTCCTTACATCAGTTTTGGATTATCGGCAGGTTGATTATATGTTTTGTGAGTTACCTACATTGGATAGGAGGAATCTTTTGTTTCTGTCCAAGAAAGAGAAAGTTCCAGACTCCCTTTAGATTAAGTCTTGATGATTAGGTTCACTGTCTCTTATTTAGGAGTTGGTAGACTGAGGGATGGTTTACTATTCCAGAAATGTCTCTTGAGAGATTCATCCACATTTGCTCTCATGGGTAGGGTAGAAAGTCTTGAAGTCATCTTGTTTTGGAATAATTAAATGAAATTTTACTCTTTTGTAATATTACTTCTCTGAATATAACTTTGAGAAAATGAGTATTTGAACACTTTGAGCTAATAATTTATCAATTTAGTATATAGCTATATATGGTGGTTCCTTTTTTATATCTGTTGGACATTTTCTCAAAGTACTGAATATTTTGGTAGTACTGCAGTCTAGTGTACTAAACATACAGGCTCAGTAAACTACAATGTTAATGAGGCAATTGAACCTTTCACGGTTTAAAACATTAATACAACAGCAATGGAGTAGTTTCAGATAAAACATTGTAGTTCTATAACACAAAAGAAATGCTGAATGTTTTAGATGAATATAATTGAAAACAATCACTGAAAATATTCTTTCTGAAGATGGTATCTTCTTGAAAGAACAACAAATCTTAGCCTACCCAACTCACAAGCTATTTAAAAACCATAAGCCTTCACACAACTATAGTTTGTTTTTTATTAAGTTGCACTAAAAATTAGGACAAGTCCTTTTCTGCAGTTCTTTCTGTTTTCACTTCAATTTATGATACATTTGAAGTAAAATTTTTCTCCTATCTTTGTTTAGGTTATTGCTTTTACTCTTCTGTGCTTGAATGCGTGTTTGGATATGGGTTCTTAAAAATTGTTTTGAAGGTTCCTTTAAGCTCTTTTACTTTGTTACCATCACAATTTATTTTTCCCCTCCCTTTTCACCTCAGCCACCAGTGGTAAAAACAGAGATGGTAACAATTTCTGATGCCTCACAAAGGACAGAGATCTCTACCAAGGAAGTCCCCATTGTCCAAACTGAGACCAAAACCATCACATATGAATCTCCACAGGTACAAAAGCTGAAGATTGCAAGTGCTTGAGTTTCTGTTTTGTTTATAGTATGAATGTTTCTGTTCTTACCTTCTCCTATTTTATGTGTTTTGACATAGTAGTTTTTCACATATTTTTTTAGAACTACTCCCACCATACCACTCACTAGCTTTGTTATCTTAGGCTCAGGTAGAGAGCTACAGTCAAATTGGTAGTCCAGTACTGTACATATTAATTTAAGACAAACGATATAAATCTTGTTCTTATTTTGTAAGTTGTTTCTGACTTGATGCATCAAAAAGTGTTTGTGCATGGGAAACATACCATCTTGCAAAATTTGCTGTGTATCATATGTTCTGTAGATGAGTAAATAGTTCATAGATTCCTACTGAAACTGTATGAAAATAGATCAGGTCAACTCATAGCTTGCTACACATGCATACTTTTTAATGTTTTTCTTGACATGTAATTGTTCACATATTTAAAGTCATGTGTACTTCTGTTGTCATGACTGGATTTGACTTTTGTCTCACTCCCTCACTCTTCAATTAAAGATTTTTAGAATTGACAGCAGACTCTGATTACTGTGATGTTCTGAAGGCAGCATCTGATAGTGATTAGACATTTTTTTGTCTATATATCAGATTTGTGTGCTTTAAATCTTAGACAGGTTCTGTAAAGATGGAAACTTTAAAAGATCATTGAAACATCTAACCTTAAGAGTAACACCAATGGGAAAGTGTTATTCATTTCAAATTGGATGTTAAAAATGTCATATAATAAATAGTTTCTCCACTGAGAATTTTAATCTTCTGTGGTTGGATTAAGCCATCTAGGAGAATGCATGTTATTTCCCTCTTGATATTTTTTTTAAAAGATGTAATGTGTGACACATTTCTGAAGGTGAATTTAGTCATGTAATCCATGTGTGCTTAGATCCCACATAAGCATATACAGGCATCTTATGAATAAATATGAGAAGGCATTACTCTTGTGTTTATATTGTGTTATGTGCCTTAAAGAAGTACAGGTACATGACAAGTCTGAGAGAATTTTCCACTGAACTGAAACTGGTATCATCCAGTTAGTTCCATGCATTAGTGTAAGGAATATATTTGGTGATTTGAGCATGGGTGAATAGCCTATTGTTTAATTATTTGTTGTAAACACTAGAATCTTCTGCCTCTTCCAGTGTCAAAGCAAATAAAACCTGTCTTAATATATGCAATTTATATGTGGTATGTAGAGAGTGTATGCATGCATATAATGTAAAATATTTGCACACACACACACATATATATATATATATGTATACTCACAAACTATTATAAATAGGAACAATGGTGTTTAAAAAAATCTAGAGATAAGTGAATAACAGATTTCTGCAGATTCAGTGTATCCTAGTCAGGTCTGTTGCTTAGTAATCTGAGAAAATGCTTATCTATTTTTACCCACCTGTGCTTAAAAAACTCAGCACTTCTGGTCACTGTGGAAACTTCTCCTCCTGGCTCTTTGGTTTCTTTTTCTAGCTTCCACAAATGTTCCTCAGACAGATCTTCTTGATTTCCGTGTAGCTTTCTAACTGTCTTCTACTTCCATTCTTATGCACGAGGTTTGCTTCTCTTTGTTCAGTCAGCTGTTTGCCTCTCTTCTGTTTTAAATGTCTTCTACTCTTAGACTCTTAAATTACTACTACTGACATACAGTACACTAGCAGACAGCATCTACTACCAACTACCTAAGTTTTAGAAGATGCATATTCGGTGGGATAGGGTCTTTTTTGACATGGAAGTTAAATATTACTTTGTATTTTTCCCCCAACTATCCAAAGATTGATGGCGGGGCTGGTGGTGATTCAGGCACGTTACTGACCGCACAAACCATCACATCTGAGTCCGTGTCAACAACGACAACCACACATATCACCAAGGTAAAGCAATCCAGGGGACTCCTAGGGTGAGGATGGTACATTGCAAACAGAATCTATTCTGACTTGTTTCTTTGCTCCTGTGCAAACTTCCAAGTAGTACACAGACAGTGCTAGTGGAATAAAAATGCCTTTATTTGAAGTATCCAAGAAATTAGGCTCCATTAACAAATACATTTGTAAGCCAAATTGCAGTTTTGTAAAGTACAGGGGGGTAAAAATATGTTATGAATAGCTACACTTGAGGCAGCTACAAGAGCAGAGATTGAATAATACTGGTTAAAATTTCCTTCGTTTGTATTTATTTTGGAACATTTTCCCAAACATTTGCTAAATGTTTGATACTACATAACCAATGTAAACCTGGCTAGGCAGTGTCAACCTCACCTAGGATTTGATACATAAACCATAGATTACTCCAGACCTACTTGGGATTGTTTAAAGAAGCTTCCAGGTGCTTTTGTTTCCTTCTGATGTCAACAAATTTCTAATTCCTCTTGTTTTCCAGTATTTTTTCTTCCACTTTTTACAGTTGATTAGTGCTTAATAATCTTAAATGCATCCTTTATCATCCCGTATTTCAGCAGCAATAACCAAACAAAACCAGAAGCAAACAAAACAAAAAAGACAGTAAGAAACTTTGTGAATTAAAAAAATCCACATAAACCAATGCTGCCATCAAGCTTATTTTAAAACCTAGCCAATTGCTATAGCTAGTGATAAGCTTTCTTTTTTTGTGTATAAAGTGCCATCACTGTGACTTGGTGTATAATCTTATCAGCATTGTGGAGGTTAGATGGGTGTGTTCACTGAATTATGTGGTATCTGCTCATTACTGTTTTGAAAGTCACAGGCAGAGGATCCTTCACTATGTTCCTGGTTAGTTTGCCAAAGACCTCCTTCCCCCATCTCTTAACACAGCCTCTATGCCACTGTGTCTCCTGTCAACATGCACAACCCCTTGAGGAAATGGTAGATTGACCAAACATTGAATGAAAATCTCAACTCTCTTCTCTGCCTAAATAAAATGAATGAAATATCCAAATCAGTTTGCATAGCTTGATTCAAGCAGTTTGTTTCCTAAACCTAAAATATATCTAGATTTTTAGAATTGCTTATAATTCTACAAACAGTGAATAACTATTTTTTTTCTTTTCAAAAATTGACCTACAGGGAGTGAAGAAACTCAGGAAAGTTTCTGATTATCTCAAAAGAACTTGGATTAAGTGGCAGTTGTCCCATATTAATTTCACTTGAATTTTGATACGTTAATTTTAGAGTTACTTTTGGTTGAGAAATACTTAGGGAGATGCTCTTTCTTTAACAATAGGATTTGCTGTTGAACTTACAAATTCTGCAAAGAGAGTTTCTACAGTCTTCCATATGATGTGAATGGCCTTGCAGTTATCAGAAGGTTATATGGGTTTCGTGTTTCTTTTCTTTGGTTGTATATATGCTTTCATGATCTGCTTTTTTTTTTTTTTCATGGCCGTTAGACTGTAAAAGGTGGAATATCTGAAACAAGAATTGAGAAACGCATTGTGATTACAGGAGATGCAGATATTGATCATGACCAGGTAAAAACCTTGGATTCTAGTTGTGAAAATGGCTTTGTTTGCTTGACTTCACATCTCTCATGTGTCAGGTCACATCCCTGTGTAAATGCCTTCTCCCAATGTGTCCTAGAACTAAGTGTGGGTAAAGACACTTCCTAAACTGTGTCTAATTTTAAGCTTTCCTAATTCTTTGTGGACTTGAAACATAGATTGCTATTTATTCCCACTGGCTATACATGCAAAATATGAATACAATTAGGTATTCACATGAATCTGGTTTGAAGACAAGCCATAAAATACTTAAATATGAATGACAGTTTGACTCTCATTTCCAAAAGAGGAAGGTTAAAAAAAAATACTTCAGTTTTTCCAAGTCATTTTTATAGCATAAGAAAAATGGCTATTTGCTGTTACACTTTTTCCCTATTTCTGTTATTGGGGTAGAGAAGGAAGAAAGCCATAATCTAAAACTTCTTTCAAAGTGAAAGTTTACATTAACTCTGTTTTTTTTTAATCATTAGAGCTGTGCTTCAATTTTAACGTTAAGTTTGACAGAATATATAGCTTTGAGTAATGAGTGGAACTGCAAGAGGTTTGTAGAGGAGCCTTAATTTTAGACTTCTGTTGTAAGTTATGATAAGAAGGTTTTGTTTTGTTTCTGAGTGATTTTAAAAAGAGACCGAACTATTTTCCTTCTGCTTGGAGAAATGAAATGTTTAGTGGACCACTTCTGCTGAGGAATAGTAACAAATGATAGGCACACAGCTTTGCATATAATACTGAGCTCAAAAAAGAGAATTTTTGAGAAAAGTTTACTTTGAAATAGTCTTTCTATATATGACCATAGAAAAATAGAATTTCTTTGTAACTAAAAAGAAAATCAGTTTTCATTTTTTACCTTTGAAAAGTATGATTTTATTAACATATTTAGTAATGAGTTTTAAAATTTCTTTTAGAGTTCTTAGAAGTTGGAGTTGTTCTAACTCTGAATTTTAACTTAGGTCTAGGGATTCTTTTTAAATTTGTTTTTATTGTAAAGATGCTGTACAGAGGGGTTACAGTTACATGAGTAAGGTACTGAGTACATTTCTTGTTGAGCATTGTTACCCCCTCCTTTGTTTTGCTTGTACTATCCCTTGGGTCTGGGGATTTTAGGAAGTGACTAGTAAAAGAATTACTCGTGACTAGGAAAAAGAATTACCTATGTAGAAACAAAGCCTTCAACTTCCCACAGAGAAGAATAATTCTGCTTCCGTGTACTAGGACAAGGTTTCTATAGTGTGCTAAACAGGAGCTCTCTTTCACTGTCATGGGTGGAAGTATAACTCTCTCCACTGAACCCATGCCCTTTCAGGCTTTAGAATGCTGCTTTTCCAGCAGGATTTTTTTTTTACAGGTTTTATTGTGTATGTTTTATTTGGCTTTTTGACAGCTTTTACCTAGAAACTCAAATTTAGGTAGTACTGCCTGGGAAAAGCAAATATAAATAACAATCTGAAAAATAAAGATTAAGCTGATAATATCCCCAACTCATGAAAAAATCCATGATGCTATTTTGCTGTTATAGAGCCTCACTGTTGATGTGAGGATTCATAATTGCTTTGTGTAATGTCCTTCAGTTCTTGAACATCTCAGTTCAGGTATTTGCCTAAAGAGAGCACTTACGCAGATGGCTTCCCCTGTATGTATAACCAGAAGCTTAGAATGTAAGCTCAGAGACAGCGCCCAGGCCCCACAAATGATGTCAAGCCCCAAGACCCACAAAACAAAACTGATGTCAAATACGTGGTAACCCTAATGCCATTGACATCTTTTCACCCCCTAGCCTATATCCAAACACATCTTAATAAAACTTTCATCTGAGTGAGACCAAAACAGTGTTTCCACACATCAGAGAGGCTTAATAAATAAAGCCAGCCGGTTGGATGTGTAAGTGTCTTGCCTGCCCATTCCTCAGCTTATGCTGTTTTCTCTTCTGACCCTACTAGGCACTGGCTCAGGCAATCAGGGAGGCCAAAGAACAGCACCCTGACATGTCAGTCACAAGAGTGGTAGTGCACAAAGAAACAGAGTTGGCAGAGGAAGGGGAAGAATAAAGGTAAGAGAGCCTTTGTTACTTACACCTTCCTGTGATCCTGTGACTATTTTCTATAGTGATACTTTTCTACAGTGATTCTTCCAAATGATTATTATCCCAAGGTACATCTGTTCAGGTCTATATAAGTAACTATAAACTGTATAGCCTATTCAGTATGTAATGTCAGTAGCTACACTCTATTTGGGGGCTGCTGATAACAAACATTTACTCACTCTTATGCATATTACGGTATATTAATGTTCACAATGATCCTTTGAGGAAGGTACTCTCACGTGAGAGATTTTTAGTAGCTGTTTTGATCATGTAAAAGCTGAAAACTTAAGGGAAAAAAGGAAAGGATAATGGATAAAGCTTAATAATCTGGATAGGAATAGATGAGTTAATGTCATGAATATGTATTGAGAACTAAAAATGTATAATTAAGAAAATTTAGAGATTTTAGTTATAAAAGGGGTAGAATTGAAAGTTAAAACGTGAAAACTATGTAAAAATGTAAATAAAACTAGCTTTATTGCTGCTCAAATCAATACAGAATAAAAATTCATGGACCAGTTTTCACCTGTAAATTTGGCAAAACTTCTATTTTTGATCAATGTTGGGAAAGTTATAGGAAAAAAGTATGCTTACATACTGCTGTATAAGTTAATATTTCCTAGAAAAGTTTGACAAAACAAGTTTCAAAGCACTTAAAACATGTCTATATTTAAACTACTTTTAAGAATTTAACTTAGAGATATTCATAAAGATTAACCTACAGGATATTTGTCACATATAAATACTAGAAAATTTTTTGAAGCAATCTTAACAGTTAATGGTAGGGCATTAGTTAATACAATACTTCCATGTGATGTCTAAAGAATAATAAAGTCAAGAGCTTAAATCTTTATTGTCCCATAGGTTTTGAAAAGCCAGTCTTATCATGAAGGATATATGGTAAAATTACTTTTATAAAAGATTCAATATGGTGATGTGTAAACAAACTACAGTATCATCAATTTATGGAAAAAGTCAGAGTTTGAAGAGTAAGAATCACCTCAGAGTCCCAAAGTCATTTTATTATGTCTACCCCTACACTAGCTACAGTCTCTCTTGAAAATTTTCTTTTCCAACCATTAGAGCTAGGAAGATTATGTCTTATGTCTATGGCTTCCTTGCTAGGATCCCAAAGAGGCTTCGGGTAAACCAAGGCAAAGAGCAGAACCAGGAGAGTGTCTGAAAGTTAGAAAAGAATAACTATTTACCATGTATTTGTTACTTTCGTTCTCAGGCAGGTAAAACTGCCCTCCTAACTTGACCTCACTCTTTGGAATAACCCTAAGCTTTTGGTCAAACATTGAAAGTGGAAGTAGAGAGGACAAAGACTGTTAGAGAACAATCTACAGAGGAAAAACCTCCCACATCTGCCTTTCTTAACTTTGAGGCTGTGAGCTCTGTTGAAAACACTGTTAAAAAGAAACAAACACTTCACAGAAGCACTTCAGAAGCACTTCACTCAATCTTTGTGGCTTTAAAAAATATTCTTTCAAGACTATTTCCTCCCATCAGTTTATATCAAATACATTTTGATATATGAACATTTTGATATATGTATATATATTTGATGTAAATACATTTATATCAAACATACTTGCCCCCACATGAGCATAAAACATTAGCAGCCTTACATTGCTTGCAGTGACGTTTTCACATTGCCCTAATAGGAAGAGTGGTGTACATGCTTTGGTGTGGTGTGTTCTGTGTGGTGTCAGAAAAAATGAGCCACAGCATAGGAGTGTGCTTATAACTCCACTTTAGTTGACATTATGGGAGATCTAAACTTAGCTGAACTTCAGGTAACCTCCCAACTTCTGTAGTAACCACTGACGCCCACGTAGAAGATGAACAGCCTACTTTTCATCTAGAACAGTGAGCAGCCAGAGGTCAGCAGGATGAAGGAGCAGCTACTTATCCATTCACTTGTCTTATCCATATTTGTTCATTATATAAGTATGCGTGGAATGCTTATTGGGTTCAGCTACTGTTTTATCATAGAAATAACAAGGCTTTTTATCAAGAACAGTAAATTGATAGTAGCAGAATAGTTTTAGCTTTTGTACTATACTCTGAATCTGGAGTGAAAACAAAAAGGGAGAGATACCTAAATTAGAATAGGATGTCAGAGATGTTTTCTCATAGAGCACATTCATGGAAACCTTCATGAAGCTTCAAGATATGTAGGAGATAGTTCTGTTATAGTTCTAGGCAGGGTCAGGAACACTGAATCTAATAGTTTAGGATCAGGTATAGCTAAATCACAGGGCACTCTAGAGAGTAATGGGAATGGAAGTAAAGAGAATAAGGAAGAACAGAATCACACATCACACCCAGGTTTCTGGCTTAAGCAAAGGAGTTCTTGATTGCATCTGTTATTTGAATTATGAAATACAGGGGTTTCTTTTTTTCTGCTTAAGGAACAGTGATTTTTTTTCTATGAACTGTAGGAGAGACCAAACTGCCGTACAAATTCTGAAGAAAGCTTTTTTTTTTTGTCAGTCATGGGGCTTGAACTCTGGGCCTGAGTGCTGTCCCTTAGCTCATCAGCTCAAGGCGAGCGCTCTACCACTTGAGCTACAGCGCCACTTCGGTTTTCTGGTGGTTTATTGGAGATAGGAGTCTCACCGTCTTTCCTGCCCGAGCTGGCTTTGAACTGCGATCCTCAGATCTCAGCCTCCTGAGTAGCTAGGATTACAGGCATGAGCCACCAGTGCCCGGCTTGAAGAAAGCTTTTTTATTTTTAAGTGAATCTATAAGAAATACTTTGTTCATGTTTCTGTCTGTCTGGTGCGTGCATGCGTGCACTGTGCGCGCGCGCGCACACACACACACACACACACACACACACACCTAAACACCTACCCCTGATTGGAAGTATAGCACACCCACACACACATACACCTACCCCTGATTGGAAGTATAGCAGCACATGGTTGAGGGAATGCAGCAGCATGAACTTGACTTCCTAGTTGCGTGATCTGGGTGGATTATTTTTCTCTGCCTCAGTGTTGTCATCTGCAAGCTAGGGTTAGTAACAGAATTTACAGAAGAATTCATTTACAAGGCAAATTATAAGCTTTCTTGTAAGTTTCAGAGTTACATATAGCCCTTTGGTTGAAGAGTCAAGTCCTGCCTGAAAGTTGTTTGCCATATATTAGGTATCTTTTAAGTGGCAAAGTCCAGGAAGCACAAGAGCTTCTATGCAGGAGTGAGGGGTCTGCAAGCTATGTGGAGTGACAGATCCTACAGTTTGCAGGTGTTACTGGGATTGGCATAGAACTGAAGCCTGGGGAGCCAGAGGTAAGAGGGGAGCAAGGCCACAAAACCTGTGAGGAAAGACAGCTCCAGGAAATTATTCAAGTGTTTATTAACACCTCGTAGAGAATGAGCCTGATCTTTGGGATTGGTGAAGCAGTCTCCTTCAGGTGGTCAGGACTAAAGTGACTAAGGACAATGAGCTTACAGGCAGTTTTCAAGAATCCCCAAACAGTGAACCAAGCCTTTTGTTTTCTGTCAGTTCTGTGTCCATCTGAGAGTATGGAGAGAAGTAGGTTTTATGGAGCAGCTAGAGGTAGTGGCAGTGTTAATAAAAATCTCGTAAACTGTCTACCTTAGTTGTACCTAGAATCCTAGCCCCCAAGCCCTAGTAGAAAAACTCTAAATTAGAAACATTACTTTCTGTGTATTGTGCATACAGGAACACTACCATCTCTAAACAAAATGGTACTGTGTTCAGACCAACGTTTCAAAGTCAAAGTTGTTCAGGGTTGAGAAATAGGAACTCAGAAGTCAAAAAAGAAATTAGCGTTAACTGTCTAACCAACTTGATATGCTGGCTGAACTAATGTGCTCGCCCAAACTAATCACAAGCTGTTCATATACACATTGACCCTGGGGACAGTACTCTTCCTTTATAGAGAAGCACATACCATTTGATTTTCAAAGGAATCTTGCTTATCAGGAACCTTTTGAAAGAGAATTCTCTGAACTTTCATGCAAAGTATTCAACCAGTAAATGCCCTTGTATGGCATAGCACTAGACCTTTGATTAGATGCAATTTAGCCACATTGATCTATTCCCACATTGTCCCAAAGAAGAAGACACATGCTAGGAGTAGGACTTTAGTGGCTAGACTGAGTGGCATTGTATATTTTTGTTCATTTAGCCACAATTCTGGTCTATTATGTATAATCCATATTTAACAGTGTGACCTTGTGGAAACTCAAAGGGAACCTTACAATGTTGTATGTGAAATGATGTGTATATGAAATGTTGTGTTATTGCTTATAATTCCTTCAGTTCATATTGACAAAGATGTCCAGACTTCTATAATATGGGATAGAATTAAGGAAAAGGAAGGTCTCTTGAAATATAGCACTTAACCTGAAAATCAGTATGTGGTTGGGATATGTGATCAATTAATTGGATCCAAAACCTACCATAAAAAGGTTGCCAAATATTATAGATTCCAAAAAAGGACAGAAAAACTTAAAGCATCTTAATGTTTGTGTGTCAAAGACATGAGTAATCCTTCTATCTTTTTTCCTACCCAGTTTAAGAGCTATATGTTTAGTACTTTAAACCGTGTCTATGTTTTAATGCAAGAAGAATAAAAATACTATGTTATGTATAAATAACAAAACTTAATACAAGGGTGGTATACACTTATAATCCTAGATACTTAGGAGACAGAGAGAGAGATCGAATGTTTTGGTTTGTTGATTGAAAGGCAGTAGACAAACTAGGTGCAGTAACATATGCTTGTAGTTTCAGCCTCTCAGGAGGTAGAGGTAGTACAATTGTGAACCTACTGGATCCAGGACTAGCCTTAGCAAACTGAAGCAGAAATGGCTGAGAGCAAAAAGGGCTAGAGGCATAGCTCAGTAGTGGATCACTTGCCCAGCAAGTCCAAGTCCCTGAATTAAAACCCCAGTACCACCAAGACAAAACAAAACATACAGCTTCATACAGTAAGTTACTCCTTATTTATCCAGAGCAATAAGAAGTCCACATATTCTGTTCTGATTCTTCACTAATTCTGAATACAGCATACAGTTTACTTACTGTTTTTTTTTAATGAGAAACTAATACATTTATCCTTAAAATTAAAGTTATTAATTTGATTCTGAAAACTGCTTAGAATACTCAGGCACATCAAGTTATTATTTGTAATATTGTCAGAAAACAAGCATACTTTCTAGAATTTACTAGAGTTTACAGTGAATAAATGGATGCAATGAAATTTGAGTTTAAATGGGTAACTGTGTCTTAATATTTAGGTCATCAAATTTGAAGGTTTTTTCTTTTTAGGTCAAGATCTATCTTTAATTTCTTGTGTGTTCCTTAGTTTCCTATAATAACTTAGAAACAAATAATTTTAGCTTTCCTTTACAAACTTATAACTCATTTCAAAGTTTATTTTTGATGTAAACAGATTTAAAGAAATAAAGTGACAGAGCCTAGAGAAATTGGAGAATAGAATCTTAAACCATGTTCTCTGGGCTTTCAGCTCATGGTCTTTATTTTGCTTTTATCTTAGTCACATATTTAATCTACTGTTTCCAAGCTATTATTTCAGTAGGTCAGGGTTCTATTTTTTTAATATATGAAAGGCAAAATGCCAGGTTTGTTAAATATGTGGTACGTATTCACTACTAGTTCTTGAAGAACTAGGATCAGTAGCTGACTGAAGGTCTCAGATACTTCCTAATACTATTTGATTGGTAGCTTTCCTCTCAACTCACCCACCCCTAAAATTTCTCTTCCTAATTGCTATCCTAAAAAATGGTTTGTTTTCTCTCCATTGATTTCCTTCTGCCTAGGATCAAGCAGAATTACTAATGAGTAATGAAATCGTCTAAGGCAGACAACAGGATTGGAAGCAATGAATCTGATTAATCAGTCTGTCCTGAATAATCACGAAGCTGTATTATCTGTGATACATCTAAGTGATGGGGAAGATCTTTCTTCACCCCCTTTAAAAAAATATGACCTATTTTATCTAGCCAAAAGACTGTACCCTCAAATTGACTCTGAGATCAATGTCTTTTGGATAGGACATTAATTACCACTCTCCACTGAACTCTGTAATTACTTAAAATTGTCAACTCTCTGAAATTCTTTTCTCTTACAGGAACAGCACACTGTTCTTATATTTCACTCCTTTTTCTTGTCTATATGCCCTTGATTATGGGCTTCCCTTGATTATGGGCTTCCCTTGAAAGACTCTTCGATTTTTTTCTTATACTGTCATGAAATTTAGATTTCATTTTACTTAGATCTCTTTGTGCTCCCTCCAAATCTACCCTGCAGTCCTAATGAGCCCATTGTTCTTTTTTTCTGATGTTGTAGAGTCTGAACTTCATTATCATCTCTGATACTCCTTTTTGATCACCATATGACAACTTCTCTACAGCTGTGCCTCTCAGCTGTCTCATTTCTGTGGCAGCCACTCAAGCCTCGGTCCTTGAATTTAGTGATAACACCTGACGTTTGCTGTTTCTTCATCCAGGCTCCTAACTAGGGTTTCTGCCATTTACCACACTGCAGCCACAGCAATGTGTTAAAAATAAGAATCAGGAACAAAAAAAGACATCCTCAGAAGCCAGGGAGAAACCATTGCAATCACCTTTCCTGGGCTGTGCCCTATATGAACTGCCAAACCCATCGCCTCACTCTGGCTCTTGCATTATAGAATGGATCACTACAGTAGACTGCTACCTATTTTTGTGTAGATGCTCTTTCAATTTAGTCAAAGAATAAATATTTCTTGCATTACCATCTGTTGCTCACTTTACCCATATTTAACTATATAATAATACCTCTTTTATATTTTTTGTACCATTACTGGCGCTTAAACTAAGGGTCTTATTTTCACTTCGCTTAAAAAAAAAAACATATCACTGGGCACTGGTGGCTCAACACCTGTAATCCTAGCTACTCAGGAGGCTGAGATCTGAGGATCGCGGTTGACAGCCAGCCTGGGCAGGAAAGTCCATGAGACTCTTATCTCCAATAAACCACCAGAAAACTGGAAGTGGCGCTGTGGCTCAAGCAGTAGAGCGCTCGCCTTGAGCTGAAGAGTGCAGGAACAGCACCCAAGCCCAGAGTTCAAGCCCCATGAACAACCAAAAAAAAAACAAAACATGGCTGGCATTCTACTACTTGAGCCATGCCTCCACTTGGACCTTTTTGCTGATTAGCTAGGATTCGAGGTATGAACCACCAGCACCACCACCAACTTCTTTCTATTTCTGTCTTAAATTCCCCCCCATGTAACATCTTTCCATTCATTTTAGTATCATAATACTGTATGCTTTTTACCTCCATCTCCCGCTTCCCCACAAAACACCCTTTTCTGATCATTGTAGTGAAGTAAAAATGCACTTTGGTTTTTCTCCCTGAGTTTATATTGTTGGTTGTCTTGCTTGCTTGCTTGCTTGCTATGCAGGCACTTTCCCTCTTGAGCCACACCCCCAGCCCTTGGCTTAATTTTTCTTATTGTAATCTCTCTTACCCAAGGGGAATATGTTCCAAGACTGAAGGATACTCCAAACTGGGTACTACTGATCCTATGTATAGTTTCCTCCCATTCCTTTTTTATTTAGAAAAGCACTTCATAGCTTCTCTGTGGGATATCTGAATTGCCAGCATCAGAACTCTGTCTTGGGGGATATTACTAGGACAATAAAGTTTCCTTGAAATGGAGGTGCTATACTACTGTGACAACTGACCTGGTAACTTGAGACAGCTTCAAGTGACCCGTGGGAAGACAGCATATGCAGCATGCATACCCTGGACAGAGGATGCCGGCACTGGGTGGGATCGGGTGGGATTTCATCATGGTACTCACAAAAGTCAATTTAAAACTTAACAAATGTTTATTTCTGGAATTTCCCATGTAATAGTTTTGGCCTAGGATTGTCTACAAATAACTGAAACTGCAGAAGGCAAAACTAGGTACTAAGGAGCACACGTTACTGTATTAATTGTTTTGGATTTGTGTTAATTAAATCTTAGTGTACTTCTTTGCTAGTTTCAATGTATTTGTCAATCCTCTGAAGTTTGGAATATCTTTTCTGTTTCAATGTGTTTGTCAATCCTCTGAAGTTTGGAATATCTTTTCTTTCTTGGTTTTTGGTAGTGCATTATTTACTGTAGACCTATATGCATATAACTGTTGATTGTTTAGTTCGAAACATTAATTTTTTTCAAACCCTCTTCTTTGAAATATTTAAACCTTGTGTCTTTTTTTTCCTCTCCTAGAAAAGCATTTTATAAACAACATTTAACTTGTTGAACCTGAAGAATTTTGACCATTCCAAGTCTTAATGCCACATCACTACTCGAGCAAATTTGTGCTACAACTGGTAACAATGACCAGGAGCCTGAAGAATTAAAATGCCAACACCAAACCTTACCTTAACAGCTCTGGTCTATACTATTCTTGTGCATTTTTAATATGTTATTTTGTTTTATAACCACTTAATATCCTTGTTTCTTACTTTTTTTTTAATTGAGGGGTTTTGTTCTTGTTTCCTCTTTACCTTGTGTACAACCACCTGCTTTTTATGACTCATTTACCCCGATGACAGTGAACAAAGCCAGCCCAGGCTGGTGAGGTGCTGTTCACTTGAACAGGTGCTGTTATGCGGAAAGGAACCTCTGTGACTAATTAAAAGAGTGGTTTTCCTTGTTCCATCTTTTCCCATTGAATTCTTACAGTAAATATTTACAGAGTTTTCAGATTACAGTAAATATACTGTACAAGAAAATATTAATACCAATTAAAAGCATTTCTTACATCTTTAAATTTTTCTAATCTTTGAAAATTTCACTAGGGATATTTTTTATATTGAACCCTTTTGACTTTCCAGTCCTCTGACTTTTTGCTTTCAGTAGAGAGTCAGAGAATCTCCAGACTGGAGAATTATGAAGCTTATGACCATGCACTGTGTTCAAGGACTTTATCAGACCACAGTGCCAGTACTCACACTCGTTCACAGCATTCCAGAATAGGAGGGAGGAAAAGAGAAACTGCCCTCCCTTCTACTAAAATGTTCCGGCAGCTTAAAACCTTAGTGCTTTCTTTCTTAACACTTCCGAATTTCAGTACTTTGCATTATTTGAACATTGGGTAGAAAACCTGCTTTGTATTAAGCCTTGTCTATATGTAAAACTGACCTCCCGTTACTGAGCAGGTCTATCTCTTTTCAGATAGCTTGGTTTTGAGGATACTGAGGAGAGGAGAGGAATAGGGGGTTATGGTGGGATTTTTGTTAGTCTAAGAAAGTGATGCTGTTTAAAGCTGACACCAGAGACCTGATAGGAACTTACTATTAACTGTATTGAATTATTTTTCCCCTTGCTTTTGACCCTATGTATAGTTACAATGCCATATTAGATTTATAGCCGCTTCAAGTTGTATTAAATGATATTTTGCTTTCTGTAATACTGTTATAAAATAAAGTTTGTTTATTCTCTAAATGCATCCCTTCTCTTTTTATAAATATAAACCAGTATAATATTTCCTGCGAGAAGTCCTAGAGTTGTATAGAATGTTGGATTGTACACTGTAACATATTTAATTCCCTTTTTAGCTCTGTCATATAATTTGATGGTGCTGCCAGCATCACCTATTTAGACAATGAAAGCAGTGCTGAAAGTTTGTAATCTAAAGTTCTGTGTGCAAGGTTCCAAATGGCTGGTTAAATAATACATCCTAGCTTGTACAAGTTCTCCAAGGGATGTTTTAGCTTATTTTCTTTGCATAGTTGTGTTTGGCTCTTAATGACTATTTTACCTATCCCATCTGAATCGTGTTTCTCTGCTTCATGTCCTGCTTTACTTTGTGTCCATTGTGACTTAAATCTGAGGGCTGCATCAAGTGGAAAGAGCTGGCTTAATGCAAAGCTTTTACCAAAGCACATCTGATTTGTGCATGGAGTTCTGTTTTCTTTTAAACATTCTACAGCAAATGGCCAACAGGGTATATTTCTTTTGAAATGTTATATATTTCTTCCTGTAGATTTAAAAATGAGTGTAGTGAATATAATTGGCATAACTGTCATTGTTGGGATCTGTTCCCACTAAATTACATCTCAGCTTGTCAGAAGCCTTTCTCACTTTATAATTGTTGCTTCTATCGCAGCAAGCCAAGCCTGAGAGCTATTATGGAACCACTGTGATTCTGTAAATCCATGTCTCATTAGAATGTTTGCATGTATAACATGCACATTTAGATCATAGACTGATTTTCTCTGGGCCTTTAGCAAAAACATACTCTTCCATACATCAAATGACATTGATAGTGAAGACAACAGAGTTTCTTTCCAACCCCTTGGAGCTAGGCAATGCATTGTTCAGTTAAGAGTCCATTTTATTAAGCCTCCACAGCTCTTGATGCCTCAAGAACATCTTTGGGTCATAGTACCCAAAGAGCCATTTTGAACAATGTTGGCAAGTAACCATGGGTTATATAATCAACAAAGCACAAAGGATTTCTCAGGGTGTCATAATCTCACTGGGACATTGAGCTTCCAAATTCCTAATAAACAGGGAAGGGAATGAATGAGATACTGAGATAAAATCTACTAGACAGTATGTGTGCAGATATCTATATCTACATCTTTCTAGTTCTCTGTTTAAAGTTCTAGCTTGAACTAAGGGCATCACACTTGCTAGGCAGGCACTCTACTACTTGAGCTGCCCCCAGCCTTTTTTAAACTTCAGTTATTTCTCTGATGTGTTCTTTCATTTTGTTACAGGCTGGCTTTGGACTGAGACCCTCCTACCTGTTGCCTCCCATGTAGCTGGGATAATATACATATTGCCACCATTTTTGACTTATTTTTCTCACTTTACCTCTCTCACTAACTTTTCACCCAGGCTGGCTTAGAACCGCAGTCCTCCTTATCACCACCTTCAAGTAGCTAGGATTACAACTCCAAAACTTTCCTGCTTTATTTGGTTTGCCATTCATGCAAGGATCTGTGCCATTGCTTACATTGGATGGGGAACATCTGGCCCATAGGGCCTTATAGGCAGGCCTGCGGAATCATTGGAAAAGCAATAGTACAGACCTACTTGCTTATCATCGGCCTGTTATTTTGTATGGCTCTTAATGATATTGTAAATATCCAGATGGCCTTTGGCACTAAAACAGTTTCCCATTCTTGATAATTTCTGGTAAACTTAATAGCCATTAATTATAAAAGACAAAGTAAGAATCTCTTGAGCATGCTTTGGAAGTTTTTCCTTCTTAGGAAAAGTCAGAAAAATTGATCCACCAAGTATGCGTTAATGTTATGAATTCTGAAGATTAAGCATAAATTTGGTTTCTCATATTTACTTTTGCCAAAGAACCTTTAAAAAACAAGGGGCAGATTGGGGGCTACCGTATGATCCAGGAGCTTAGCCTGACTTTTATCTGGTGCCTTCAAGCAGATGGCACTGTTCTCAGTGGAAACGAACATGTTAGTGTATTTCTATCTCTCTGAAAACATTCATAAACCTATTTTGACTGAAAATCCCTTTTTCTCACCTTTCTCAATAGCAGAGGAGAAATAGGTCTTGCTTTAAACTATTTAATTATGTTTATTGTAGAAAACATGGGTATTTATAGCTCATCTGCTACCAAATTGCTGAGTTGATGTGCAGGCTTCCACTAGGGTCCAATGTGCCTCTATCTGGGAGAAAAAATGGAGTAAACTTTAATGAGTGAACCTCAAATTTGCCTAGCAGCTGCCTGAGATGGGAAAATGAGGTGTCCTTTCACACCTTCTGTTAAAAGCAGCATTTTTTCCACAAGCTGATCCATCTGGGGCTAAAAAGAGATCCCTCTCAGGACTGAAAGAATAGTGTTATTTTTTTCCATATGGTATATGCACTCTTATAAATTACCTGAATCTGAAAGTCTCCAGCAGACGCCATTTTAATTGAATACTATAAAATAGAGAATCAAAAGTCAGTTACTATGCAAGAAGTGCAAACAAACAGGATAGGCATGAGGGAATAAGGATAGGTTGGAGGGAAGAAGCAGCAAATCCTGAACTCGGCACACAGTCTGTTGCCTGGCATGGTTATCCATATCACCTTTTGTGTGACTGTGTCACCAAGCAAAACTCATACGTTTCTTGCTAGTTTCTAGATTTCTTGCTTTATAAAATGAATCATCCTAACAGCCTGTTAAACTCATACAAAGATTGCAATATAGCAGATTTAGGAAATATAAAGTGTGGTTTATTATCAGTAGCTAGAAAAAATAACAATCATGTATTCCAATTAGCACATTAAATGTTGACTTGTTTTTTTCAATTACTTATATTGGCTTTTTCAAAGTTCCATCAAAAGAGAAGAATGTTGCTAGTGAAATGTTGACTCCTTTCCCGTGGGTGTTTGGTTTTTCAGGAATTACATTATAGTTTCTTCCTTTTCCTAGTACCAAATTGTCAGTATATCCAATCAACATTATGTTGAAACTCCATTATTGTGTGCCTTAGTTGTCACATTGATAATTTGTGAAAGCAGTTGGAAAAGGAGAGATGCAGGACAGAAAATGCAGACATGGGATCCAGAGGAAGCTGGCAGAGGAGAAGCTGGGGGCTAATCAAGCTATTGCATAGAAAGCAGGTTTAGTGTACAAGTGAAAAGTCCTAGGCTAGAGAGTCACACCAAGTGTTAGCCATCATAGTACAGAGAGTTTGGACAGAGAGGAAAAATCCAGGCAGCTTGGTTAAAGAGATAGATCTGTGCACTTGCTAATGTCCATGGCAGCGGCTGTTGCTATGGCCACCATATCGACAGAGAAGAGCCCAGAACAAAGGCACCAGTGGCTGTGTGCGAGCAGATTCTACTTGCCACCAGCAAAAACTGACAAGAGCAGGAATTTTCACCAGGCTGACCACAGACAGTTGCAGACCATGGACGACCAGGAAACCAAGGGATAGGCGTGAGTACTCCAAGACATCCTCCTTCCTTCTCATGGAACAGCAGTGGTAAGGTACCCCTTCTACCACTACCAGAAAAGAGCTCCATCTTTGATACTGACAAAGACCCAGCCAGAGCAGCTAGCACAACTCAGGCCTTGGAAGAAAACGATAGGAGCCATTCAACCTGTCACAGATACCTGACCTGTCTGGCTCAGCTCCACCCAGGGAAAAGTTGCCCTTCCCAGGTGGAGGAAGCTCCACCCATGGAGGAGTGACTGTCTACACTGGGTTAACAGAGCCAGAGGCCACCCCTCCCCACTGTGGCCTAGGCAGCAGACCCAGCAGCAGGAGGGGTAAAAGAAAAACAGTTGAAACTCAGTAAACATAAAATGTCTCCAGGCTGGGCTCTCTCCAGGCTAGCTCTCTCAGGAGCTAGCACATCAGGGTAAAGCTACTGATTGCTGACAGGCCTCAACCTACCCACAACTTAGCCCCATCACAGCAACTCCAAGCTAGAGGAAACAGCCATCTCCCTCTTTTGTGATACTCAAAGTAGATCTCCCTCCCACTGAACTAGCCTGGGAGGAAGGTCATAAAGTTCCAGGTAAGGCAGAGCTGTATGCTCAAACTGACTTAAACCAAGCCACAAGAAAACCAAACACCACAAGCAAACCAGAGACTCCACTGAGACTGGTTACAAACACAGGGGAGAGACAAGATCCAACCCCCTCCCCCCAAAATCAAAGAACTCTTTTTTTCTACCTAATTTTTTAAAATTAAAAAAAACTTGTTTCATCATTTTTATTTTGTGTGTGTGTGTGTGTGTGTGTGTGTGTGTGTGTGTGTGTGAAACTTTTTACTCTTTTACCTTTTGGTCTTTTTTGGGTTATTTTTGCATGAATTGCTGTTTTGCTCATCCCCATCTTCAATTATTAGACTTTATCCTTCATTGTGAGCATACCTGATTTAGAAATTGATTACTCAATTTAAAAACTCTCAGCCTTAACTCCTTTAATAGTAGTATTTCTTTATACTTATGAAATTTTAAGTGTTTCATTTTTTAATTTTTATTTTTTCATTTTTCCTTGTTTCTTTATCTCTCTCCTCCATTCTTTGTATCTGTTTCCTCTCTCTGAATTTACACCTTGGTTAAATTCCCTCTATCCTCTTTCCTCCTCACATTCTTCTAATCTTATTTTCTGCCCATAGTTCTCCCTTAACCTGTTAATTTCTGGTCTGCTGACTCCTACTTTGACATTTTTAGTCCATTAATCCATAGTTGTTTGTTGTTGAACTAGATTGTATCCATCAAACTAGATTGTATCTGTACTCAGTTTGACTGTGTCAAAAAAATCTGTGCAACTACAGGGTTCTGGTTGCCTTAAAATAGTGTTCTAGCATGAAATTGGTTTTGCTTTCATACCAAATGGGCAGAACAAGCTGGAGAAACAAGAAAAATGGCAAGTCCAGGTATCTCAACTCCCATTCCTGATAATCAGGCAGTTAATGTATGATCCAGAGGAAAGTTCCCAAAATGCTCTAAAAACGCTACTGGTA